CAAAAAAATTTTGGGGAGTACTTTTTTATCGGGGGTAAATGACACGCAGTGCCAGTAGAGTGGGGATTGCCCTATCAAAAATTTGATAATATTAATACACAGAGGCAATATGCTTTGGTTCTGCAAGAGTGCTCAATGCCTGATTCAGGCAGAGCGGCGTACACAAAGGCACACAATGAAAACCTTGGCAAATTTATTCCGTTGTGACTCCGAGTTTCATGGCTGAACCAATCATCAGACAACGATAATGGAATAGGAGGCAGCGCTTGTATATCTAAGTGGAGAGAGGTGTGATAATACGATAGCGAGAGGAGTAATCGCGTGTGCAGGGACGGGCTATTTCAGAGGCAGATGCAGTAGGCGCAGGTCTAGCACTAACAAGTACGCGCTTAATGTCGCTCACACACCACACACACACACACACACACACACACATACTAACACGCACACACATAGTAACACCCACACACACATACACACATACACGCACACACTAACACACACATACACTCACCCACAACACCCTAACTTGCACACGGGCGCACGCACACACAGGACACCCACCCACCCACAACACCCTAACTCGCACACGCACAAACACACGCACACACGCATATACACACACCTATAGACACATGTCCACACGTATACACAGGCATCTGCGTTCGTATGACAAATCTAAGCGCACACAAACTCCTGCAATCACGCGTCAAAAACCCCGCAGCGGTCATAGCTGTCTATGTAATAGGGGTGGCCAGCAGAAACTTGCGCTGGTGAGGGCATTTAGATACCAGCTCACTTCTCTTGTTTAGGGAGGTAGCTTTTGAAGCTTTCAGGATGTGGAACTTTTCGGTTAAGCATAGGCCACACTTCTTGCTGATGTTACTGTACGAAGGTGCTCGCAGATGCCTGTGTATACGTGTGGACATGTGTCTATAGGTGTGTGTATATGCGTGTGTGCGTGTGTTTGTGCGTGTGCGAGTTAGGGTGTTGTGGGTGGGTGGGTGTACTGTGTGTGCGTGCGCCCGTGTGCAAGTTAGGGTGTTGTGGGTGAGTGTATGTGTGTGTTAGTGTGTGCGTGTATGTGTACATGTATATGTGTGTGTGGGTGTTACTATGTGTGTGCGTGTTAGTATGTGTGTGTGTGTGTGTGTGTGTGTGTGTGTGTGTGTGTGTGTGTGTGTGTGTGTGGGCGACATTAAGCGCGTACTTGTTAGTGCTAGACCTGCGCCTACTGCATCTGCCTCTGAAATAGCCCGTCCCTGTATACATTCACGCGATTACTCCTCTGGCTATCGTATTATCACACCTCTCTCCACTTAGATATACCAGCGCTGCCTCCTATTCCATTATCGTTGTCTGATGATTGGTTCAGCCATGAAACTCGGAGTCACAACGGAATAAATTTGCCAAGGTTTTCATTGTGTGCCTTTGTGGATAATATTAATAATAATTATTATTAATAATGAAATAATAAAAGCTGACATGATACATGTACATGTACAGCAGGGAGTCGTAAAATACCGGTATTTTACGACTCCCTGATGTACATGTACAGTACAACGAAAATTGGAAATAACAGAGGAGACGAGACACATTGTACACGAGGCGTTCCGCAAGGGTCGGTGCTGGGGCCTCTGTTATTCTCTTTGTACGTGCGACATGTCCCTGGAGTACTTCGCCACGCAGAGTCCCAACAGTATGCTGACGATATCGCCTTTTATATACACTGTCAGTCTACTGGTGACTTCAGCACAAGTTGACAAGTGAGTTGAACAGACTAAATACGTACCTTGGAAGCATTGGTCTCATCTTGAATGCCCAGAAAACGAAGTTCATGGTGCTTCGGAAGAAGGCTATGCCTCTTCCGCCGGATCTTACCATTGCATGCGGTGGTGTCGATATTCGACCTTCTGCCACAGCGCGTTATCTTGGCCTCATTATTGACCAACACCTCACCTTTGAGGATCAAGTCAACCATGTATGTACATCTGTTTATAAGAAGATAGGAGCATTCCGCCGCTGCCGCCGTACAGTAGACCACACAACTAAGGGCCGGGTTCCACTGCGGCTCCGCGGCTCCGCTGCACCGCGGCACTTGGCTGCATGCAGCGGAGCAGCGCGGTTCCACTGACACTCGCCATTCGCGGTACCGCGGTCGTGCTCCACACTTTTTGATGACGTTTCACCTGCCTGCGCGCGCGAAATCAAAAAAATCCTCCTGTTCTGGCCTGCGCAACGAATTAAAATTTGAATTTCAAAACTCTGGCGTACAAAACAATGCAAAGTACGGGGAACAGGTCGAGCCGCGACCGCGGCTCGCAGTTTTTGGTGAAGAATCGTAGCAAAAGCTCGCGGTGAGCCGCGGACTCGCTGCTAGCTCCAGCTCGAGCCGCGGTCACTATGGTAATGATGACGTTTCAAGCCGCGAAAGACGAGCAGCGGAGCAGCGGAGCCGCAGTGGAACCCGGCCCTTAGCGAATATTTTATTTATCCCTCATCCAATCCACTATTGAATACGCCAGCAACTCGTATGCTCACTGTCTTACACCATCTTTATACTCTCGCCTTGTTACTTTAAAGGGGAAGTATACCCTAAAATCAAATTTTCACCAGTTGTAGTCTTCTGGGTGCTGAGTCGAATGGTCTTGGTCCGAGGAAGCTGCGACGCTCCCTTCCTACTTGAATCCCAATCGAACTCGCGCACTTCCACCGAAACTGGGTGACTGCGCCCTACTAGATGGGGATTTGTATGCAAAATGTCACTAAAAGCGCCATTTCGTTCTTATAAGAGCATGGATGACCGCGATTGGCCCATATGTTGTAGTCTTTTGGACGCTGAGTCGATTGGTTTTGGTCCGAAAAGGCTGCGATGCAGCGTTCCTCCTTTATTCCCAATCGAACATGGTTGAACAAGCGGTCACGTGCTCCTGCGTACGCCAGTCACCTGGTCACCGTGCCTGCTGGGTACAACTTACTAGCCTGTTTGACCTTTTTTGGGTGCAGTCCTGTCACTCGAGTTGAACTCGAGTTGAACCTTGGTGTGAAAGTTGTCGCCTGCTGGCGTGGTACCAGGGGATTTGGGCACCCAGGAGCACGTGACCGCTTGTTCAACCATGTTCGATTGGGAATAAAGGAGGAACGCTGCATCTCAGCCTTTTCGGACCAAAACCAGTCGACTCAGCGTCCAAAAGACTACAACATATGGACCAATCGCGGTCATCCGTGCTTTTATAAGAACGAAATGGCGCTTTTAGTGACATTTTGCATACAAATCCCCATCTAGTAGGGCGCAGTCACCCAGTTTCGGTGGAAGTGCGCGAGTTCGATTGGGATTCAAGTAGGAAGGGAGCGTCTCAGCTTCCTCGGACCAAGACCATTCGACTCAGCACCCCAAAGACTACAACTGGTGAAAATTTGATTTTAGGGTATACTTCCCCTTTAAGTCATATCAGCATGAAAAAGGTTTTTGGTCTCCCTCGCCGTACCCCGACTGTCTTTGTTTTGCGGCACGCTAAGTTATACTCCCTCGAATCTCGTCTCAACTTGAGGCTTTTTATTTTTGTTTTCCGCTGTATTCATCAGCTTACAAGTCCTCTTCTTTCCTCAATGTTCACCCTCCAGTCGGCTGCTACTTGCACCGAGAGGCGCACTAGAGGGCAATCATTCTCTTCACTTTCTTTGCCCGCTGCTACCACTAGATATGGCATGTTCTTTATTTCTTTCCTTGGCGCTGATAGGTGGAATTCTCAGGCTGCCTGTCTCGTGTCGTCAGGTTGAGCATCTATCCGTTTTTGTTTCGCTCTGTAAAGAGCACTTAGGGTTCCCTGTAACAAGACGGCAACGTCTGTAGGGCCTTCCCTATCAAAATAATAAATTCTATTACTACTACTACTACTACTACAACGAAATTAATTTGAAAGAAAAAGGAAAAAGGCCAACCCTGCCCTCATATATCTGGCGCCAGTGGACTTACGGGGCCGGGGGTACCGGGTCGCCATGGCAAATAATAAGTAGTAAAAATTAATGAGCTAATATGTGACGTCAAATTGTGTTTTGTTCGCCCGTAAAAGAGGCTATCTTTCTTCAAAAAAACAACAACAAAAAACACCGATCGAGGACATGTCGATGTCGGGGTTTTCCCGTGATGTTGCCGTGGATACAACTAACTTGACAAGGTACGGTACCTGGGTACGCGGCTGACGGAAAATTCAAAACCAGTTCCTGTGTTTTGGCTACCATGTACCAGGCCGTGCACAGTGATTTTGAATTTGGTCTGCAGAATACTTTTAATATACTGTAATAGCTTTCGTGTTCCATTCTCGTCGTCCCCATTGTTCTAATGAATCTGCTTGTGAAGTGACTCGATACTAGTCTATGCTTCTTTTCTTCTAATGACCTGACCTAGTACCTGTACGAGCATCTGAACATCAGCGGCAGTGGATGGTGTTGAATTATTATTTGAATATCTACGGATTACAAATCCACTGGACTTGGATACTCTGGCTGTGGAGTGTGGTGGTGGATGTGTATCGTTGAGCCTTGCTGCAGTCGTATTCGAGTAGATCTACTCACCCGCTCCAGTTCAGTATGTAGTAGGGTGCCTGCCTGGTGTCTGTCTACTGTATGGCCGTTGCGGATCTGACGAGAAGGCAGGTTGCGGATGAGACTGTGCGAGCAGTGGTGCTAGGCTTGTGGCGCTATCAGGTCACCGACAATGACTACCTACGCAGCACGCGTGAGAATTACGTGGACAAGTACTGCCGAGCGTCCAGGCTAGCTTATGACGTAGAGCTTCATGACGTATGTGGTGTATCCGCTCATCAGCGTACCCAGCTGCGCTGCGCTGTCTCGTCGACTATATATGATGATGTTCGGAAAGGAGTTCTGGTTCCCGGTCACGTGATCGAGATAAGTGGGTGGAAACTAGTGTATGATGACACCCAGGTCAGCAGTTCGCTGCTGACCGTAATTCAGGCGGTGAGGCATGCTAGTGGTGCATGCACGTGCGGCGTGCGCGAACACAACGAACTGCCGAGCCAAGCCTGATTGGCCAGCGGGCTCTGTGCTATAACGCGTGGACACGGGAGGATCCCGTCGGTCCCAAGAGACTGGCGGGCGAGGAGAGTCGCAGCTCGTTCACCGCCACGGCGCGTGTGGAAGTGACAGCGCTACTTAGAGGTCGCATGCTTATCAAGGACCTGCAGCTCGGCAGGGAGAAGAAGCTGATCTGCGGACGTGTCATGATGAAGGAGCGGCTAGCAACGTACGTGCCGTCCAAGAAGCCCGAGAAGTACCCGTACATCCTTCACATTCTACTCGCTGATGAGAGCGGCGCGGTACACGTGTTCTTCTGGCATCAGATGGCGCTGGCGTGCGTGAGCAGCGTGCGAGAGAGCGACGTGCTGGTGTGCCGTAACTTCAAGGTCAAGATCTATCACCGCGACCGGGACGCGGTCGAAGTGGCGCTGGACCCTTGCTCCGATCCCACTGATCACATCCACGTCTTGCCAGAGACGCTCTGTCCGACTGCGCTGCTGGATCGCTTGCCACGGCTCGACGACAACTTCAGGACGCTATCCAGCCTGCAGCGGCAGCGACGCCAGAGTGTACCTTTGAACGAGGAGTTCTCCGTTGCCGCTCTCATCGTGTATGTGTGCCCATGGCAACGATACCGGGACGTGTCGGTGCCGGAGGAGTTCTTCCAAACGCGGCTACTGGCCGTGCGAGATGAGAGTTCGGATCAGCTTCTCCTGCTGCGTGTGTATGCCTTCTCAGATGAGAAGCTGTTCTACGGTCTACGCGCCGGCCAGCTGTTGGTAACAACCCACTTGTGTGTCGGGAGAGTTGGAAGCGACGACGCATTTCAGTATGATGGGCCAGGACGTTTTGACGAGCTGATGGTGGTCACCACGTCATGCAGTTCCCAGGTACTGTATTGTGATCCGTGTGTGTGTGTGCGTGTGTGTCCAAACAAGATGTCATGGCCAGCCTAGCTTATGCTATCATCATTTCGGCAATAGGTCTGTTTCAGTGTTGGTTCTCTGCCTGCATTTACGTCTGTTTTGAGTGTCCTGGTGCGGAAAATAGTTTAGTAAGAATACAGTGTTCACTTCAGAATTTTTGGACTCCACACAACTACATCTTAAAGAAAGGCTGGCTTAGCAACTGACAGCTGGCCTATTCAGTTGCTGCTGATTCAAATTTCAAAAATTTTCTTTGAGTCCTGTAAAAGCGAGTCCCCTGTAAACTACTTTTTTTTAATGTAACACAGTTCTTTGACTGGTAATGTAAGTCAGTTGACAAGCCAGCCTTTCTTAGGCAGTAATGTGTACTGCGGCAATGTGCAAACATGGACCTGCAGTGGGAGGTATGCTGGGTGCGCCATTTCTAGTAGTAGGCATTGCCTTGTTCCCGTGCGCTTGTACCGGGAGGCCTCCAGTCCTTACACACAAGTCCCTGGCCGATGAATGTGTGAAGAGCGTGATGAGTGCAACTACAGTGAAACCTGTCTAAGACGACCTCTCAAGGGACCTTCAAAACGTGGTGCCCGTGTACCGGTGGTCTCCTGGTCCAGGGTCATTTGACTGGAAATATCATCCTTTGGTCCAGGTCGCAGTGGTCGCCTTATCCAAGTGGTCGCCTTGACAGGTTCTTCTGTAGTTCATGGTACTTTAGTGTAAGCACTGGTCAAGCGGGTGTGTACCACTGTGTTCTACCAAGGTGGAGTCATGATGTATGTATGTATAACCAAGAGTAGATAAACAAGAGTGTGCAACTCCGGATCTCTCCTGCACAATCTGCAGATACCCCCGCCCACGGCGGAATTTTTTGTTGACGTCACCTTTTTTCAGAAGAACGCGCATTTTGCTGCAGAGCAGTGTGAGAGCACGTGCTGGGCACCGACTTTGTAGTGCAAATGCGGCCAAGTGCACGAGGGAAAACTTTTCAAAAGACTCATAGCGCGTGTATCGTCGAAAAGATTACGTCAACAAAAAATTCCGCCGTGGGCCAACCCATCCGCGAGTTGCACACTCTTGTTTATCTACTCTTGGTATAACTCATAATCACAAGGTGATCGTAGAGGCATTAATCAGCGAGAGAATTGTGAATGATGTCTCTGAATCCAAGTGGAGTCATGATAAGATGCTGTAAACGAATCGATGCTTGCCCTGCTCAACCAACTGGTTCGGTAATGGCTCGTTCCCTGTGTTCCGATCAGGGTAATAAACACAAGCTGTTTGTCTGTTTATTTGTTTGTCTGTTTGTTTGTCTGTCTGTGTGTTTGTGTGTTTGTTTATTTGTTTGTTTGTTGCTTGCAATGTCCGTGACGTGTACAGTTATACACGTTTGAGCAGTCAGACACGACTGATGTCACGTTCACTGCCTCCGTGCTGCAGTCGCGATTCTGCCGCCATGACAAAGTGCTGAAGTCCGCTCACTGGCTGGACGGAGCGGACAGCGTTCGGGTGATGTCTCCGCCAGTGGAGTGCAAGGACTTGTGCTTTGATCGTCTTATCCCCCTGCCCGTACCGCTGGACATTAGTCACCAACAGCTCCATGACATTATACAGTTGCGGAATAACTTTGAGGTGAGACTGAGAGCTTCTACATGGACCTCGTATTCTCACTTTCTGTCTCTAACTCTCTTTCACTGTCGGTCTGTTTGTCTATCCTTCTGTCTCTGTCTCTGTCTGTCTCTGGCCGTCTCTCTTCTCTCTCTCTCTCTCTCTCTCTCTCTCTCTCTCTCTCTCTCTCTCTCTCTCTCTCTCTCTCTCTCTCTCTCTCTCTCTCTCTCTCTCTCTCTCTCTCTCTCTCTCTCTCTCTCTCTGTGTGTGTGTGTGTGTGTGTCTCTCTCTCTCTCTCTCTCTCTCTCTCTCTCTCTCTCTCTCTCTCTCTCTCTCTCTCTCTCTCTCTCTCTCTCTCTCTCTCTCTCTCTCTCTCTCTCTCTCTCTCTCTCTCTCTCCCTCCCTGTGTCTAGATTGTATCGAGCGAAGATCTGGCTCGTGTCATTTCTGCATTGGACTATCGCGAGAGTAAAGTGGTGATATTTCATGCAACGCTGGCTTCAATCTCCTTCTCTTGTACAATGCAGCACCAGCAGCAGGTACATGGTGAGTGGGTTATTAGTGACGGGCCTGGCCGGACTGATAGGAACGTCCACACTGTGCAATTGTCATTATTCCATTCATAAGTTGAGGGATTGAAAAAAAAGGGACTGAACAAATAAAAATAAATAAATTTCACGGTTCGCGTGAGACTCGGCTTCCAGCCGAGTTTTCCGCATCCGCCGTAGGAACGCCACCACCCTCTAGGATCAAGGCGCAGATGCAGCGCCTAAACGGGACTGAGAATTGTGTCGTTATTCCTGCGTTGTTGTTGACTGGTAACCGTATACCAGTATCCGAGGTCATTACTTACGGGGTTGGCTGTGTGCGTGCAGTGCTTCCAAAGATTTCGTGTTGTGATTTTGTTATTTCGGTCCTAAGTGTCAATGCCATCTGATAGCTAGCGGGGCATGTGTTATACCAGCGACAGTCCTGCCTCTGCAAAGTTGCTTCTGCTGCTGCCTTGTACGGTGAAAAAAACTTCAGTGTAAAACTGTAAAGTTCAGTACCCTGGATGCACCATCCTACGTTGTTTGTATAGCAGCTAAGAGAATATCATACGGGCCGCACAGATGCAACGAACAGAAGAATGGATGACCTACGTAGCAGATTGAAAATCTCCGGTTCAAATTGAGGAGTTTCTGAAATTTCCCCCTGGAATACAGAGGGTCCGAACCGGGGCTTGATCCCACACAGTTCAGATGGTCACAAGACCGGGACTCTACCAACCGGGCTTTGGTTGTAATCAGGAACACTGTGTCTCAATACAGTGTGTCCTCCGCCTTATAACCTGCTGTTATCCTCCACTGGTGACCTATATGCTGCAGAGGTTAGGCGACTTTGTGAGTCCAGACTGTGTCTGTGCACGTGTTTGTATATGTGTGTGTGTGTGTGTGTGTGTGTGTGTGTGTGTGTTCTGATGGCTTGACCAACTTGACCAGGTGCTGCTCAGCCAACAGCAGCGGCGAGTGCAGTCGCCACATCAGCCCAGGCATCTGCGGCCGATCAGCTCGCAGAGCAGACACACTCAGCAAACAACAGCACGACAGCAGCAGAGGCAGCAAGCCAAGCACCTGGCATGCACACGGCACTACCACACCGGCGGAGAAGAAGATTCATCGCGGCGTCATCAGACGATAGTGAAGACAATACAGCTCGTCACCGTTCCGTGCATGGCCGACCACCACCACCAGCAGCGGCGGCGGATAATGTGCATATTGATCACAGCCACGCATACGGTACCCGTGTTACAGCGCACGCGGAGAGCCAGGGTACCCGTGCTACAGCGCACGCGGAGAGCCAGGGTACCCGTGCTACAGCGCAAGCAGAGAGCCAGGGTACCCGTGCCACAGCGCACGCGGAGAGCGGCTTCAGCGAGATGAGAGATTCCGAGCAGACGTTGAGCAACGAACGCCGCAACCCACTGGCCGTCCAGCCTCAGCGTCATGCCATGCTTACTCGCACTCGATTACGCCCTCGTGTGCACAGCGGTGGGACAACCAGTCAGGGTACTGACAGCGGCATGCTGGTCGATGACAGCTCCGCCGTACCAGCTAGCCAGTCTGAAGACAGTGACGAGGACAACACTCCGTTACCCAAGGTGAGGCGACTTGCACACACCAGCTCGTATCAGAACAGTGCTGCTAGCAGCTCTCGCCAAAGACCTAGCTCCGCTGCTAGAGTTGTGAATGCAGGGCAGGACGGCAATCGGAGTGTTTCCCGCCAGCCACAGGTGTCGATACCTAGACGAACCGCTGACTCCAGTGCTAGCATGAGCCATGGTCGTGCTGGTGTTTCTCCTGGTGAGCCCTCCACGGTTGCTAATGATGGGTCATCAAACGCACAGCAGCAGCAGCAACAACAACAGCAGCAACAACGGCAGCAACAGCAACAACAACAGCAGCAACAACGGCAGCAACAACAACAGCAGCAACAACAGCAGCACAACCAGCAACAACCACAGCAACAACAGCACCACCAGCAGCAGCAGCAGCAACCCACTCCTATTCGGGTAAGGTGTCTTCAAAGTAACATGACATCCTACCACATTACTACTAGTACAGTCAATCAACCCTGCGAATAACGACCCTCGGTCATCGTGTGTCGTCATTCGCCAGGTCGAAATGTACAGACAAATGGTCACTATATGTGAAGACTGTCGTTATTCGCGAGTTGTTGTGATACCCGAGGTCGGTATTCACAAGGTTGACCGTCCTTCATAGTGTACTAGTAAGTTCACAATGAAAAGGTTGTGTCATTGTGATGTCATTATGATGTCATTGTGATGTCACACCCCATGATTCACGTGGTACAGGTGGAATTCTGATACATGTAATTTTTTATTTATTTATTTATTCACAATCACGTGGCACTAGCCAATGAAAAGGTGATGTGGGCGATAGCCAGCCGTGGCGGTAATAGAGCTAGAGGGGAGAAAGAAAATTAAAAAACCCGCATTACCAGGGGAAAGCAGGGCATAATGATCATGGAAAGATATACATGTACATGGCGTGAGTCAAGTTTGCACCTTGCACCATTTCGCAACCCAGTGCTTGCAGGACTAGGGCTGCACAGCGCTAGGCGCGTACTTGAGTAACTCAATCGGATTTCATTGAGCAGTATTCTACCTGTGAGCAGTATTCTACCTGTGAGTGCATACACATATGCTCTCGTTCTGGGCTGAGGAGTTTAATTTCGAAGCTGTACTTCAAGTAGAAAGGAATTTGTTTTGCCTCCTCTCTGTTTTTCACTTTCAGCATTCTTCCAAGCGAGCAGTACAGGACATCCCGGGCGACATTGCCACCGTGGAGTGCTGCCATCGCAAGCCCGACACCAGCCCGGCAGAGGAGCTGCATGAGTGGACGCTGGAGCTGCTCTCGCTGAACCAGGATCTGCTGGTGCGCGTGCCGCTGCGCTACCCGCACGCCCTGTCCATGCTCTACCGGCTGGACTGGCACGCCTACGCCGCGGACACCACACCGGCTCACATCGTCTGCCGCGGCGTGGCGCCGCAGTTCAGGATCGCCAGCCCCGGCGACGTTCGCGTGGCCAGCCGCTTTCTGAGTGCGGCCGCCACGCAGCTGCGTGACCGTCGTCTTCTGGTCCTGCTGGACGTGTGCAGATTGTCACGTTCTCACGTCCACGAGACGTTCATGGGCTGTCTGATGAGTGAAGACGTTTAGGTTTATTTCATGAGAGATTACAAGTATACCAATCCTATAGTTATTATGACAAGGTAGTGGTGGCGACTATTTGACTTTGTAATAGTAGATCTACACATTGAACTTGAAACCCGACTGGACAATAGTTATGAACTAACAGAAGAAATCTATAGACAAGGACAATAGCTGGCTACTTGTTGGTAATATCTAGTGTGGTTGAGAGCACCTACTCCACGCGCTGTGTGCTGTATGCGCGTACCCCCTTCTGCTAGTGCATGATTCACTGCTGCAGTGGTTCATTTTTGCTTTGTAATACCTCAAAGTCAAGTTAGCACTGGCCTCGCTTGGTTTGAAACTGTCCCTCGTGCTGGTTTTCATGTTGATCTCTCTGTTAGTCTGCCCCCCCCCCCCCCCCCCCCCCTCCTCTCCCTCTCCCTCTCTCAAATACTTTCCACTGTCCTATGGCAGCTAGCTTGATTGAGTCCTGACTCTACATCTCCACTACCATGTAGTATTAACCCATAGAGACAGAGCACAGCTGGAGCAGTGGCAATGCGACTGCTGATTTCTTTCATCAACATTGGAATAAGAGACATTTTTTATTCAAGACAAACACAGACTCACTGCACCACGGTTTCTTTAAAGTATTTAGGGGCCTTGAGATTTCCGCTCTGGTTAGGAAATGATTGTACAGACATTATTATAGTATTCGTAGGGTTTTATTGTGTCTTGGCTGTGTCCAATGGACGTTTCATACAGTATGTTTGGTTTTCTGGTGCTGTAGCGTAATCCTGGCGACGTACCGCAAGAATCTGATCAGTTGCTCCCATGCGCTTGTGCTGAGTGTGTTCCATGATAAGGTATGTTTGTGTGTGTGTGTGTGTGTGTGTGCGTGTGTGTGTGTGTGTGTGTGTGTGTGTGTGCTCCCCGGGCGCGTGCGTGTTACCGTGCCTATGCACAGGGAAGCGGCACGTGTGTTGTCATGGTGACGAGCCGTAGCAACGCAAGCACACCGCTGTTCGCTTCAGCTTGTCAGTATGTCCGGAGCGTGACCATGGTGTCCACTGTCCAGGCCTACAGGGTAATGTCCGTTGATATTCGTGGTCTTATCCAGTAAGTAGGGTAGAGTAGTTACAGTACTCATTGGTATACAGGAGTAGTAAAATACCTACTCATTGGTATACAGGAGTAGTAAAATACCTACTCACTGGTATCCACTGCACCATCAACAGTGCAACAGTCACATACTGAAACAATCGTGAGCAACTGAGGCAGTAGGGAGGTTTCGCTCTACGGAATTACGTATGACAATAACGTAGGAACTGCACGTAATTTTCATACGTAAAGATCAGCGCTGTTCGGTTTCGCTCTACGTGATTTCTCCACGACTGCTAAACATGCCGTGTTGCTTTGGAGACGCGTTGGCTGCATGCGCCCACCGCATGCACCATGAACCGAAACCGCGTTTTCCATCTTATTTTGCACTTGGTGTACGGTGTGTGTACCTTGTGTTTCGCGCGGATAAATCCGAAAAAGGCGAAAAATATGTCAAAAAGTCCTACGGAGGCCCCAACGTAGGAAACAGCTTTCCTACGGAAATCCGTAGAGAGATTTACGTATGAAAGTTGCCCTCGCTCCCCGGCGTGTACGACATACGGATTTTCATACGTAATTTTGTAACTTGCATCACTGTGACGTCACTGTTCGGCGGTAAAGCTGATGTCAAGATTGGACTGATGCTATGGAACAGTAGAATCGCGGTTTGCGGCTTTAATGGCTCATATAAAAAAGTTTTTAAAAAAACCGATAGTATTAAACCGGCACAACTACGCCAAAAAAAGAACAAAAAAAACAAACGTCTTGCCCCTAAGGAGCACCATGGAAACATTTACATAATTATATAAAAGCTTGGGATGGATAGATGAAAAGTTAGAGAACTCCAAAGGGATACATACTGCAATGTGACTTTTTAAGTACAGTCAGACCTCGCTTATCCGGTCCTCTCGCCATCCGGATCCCTCGCCATCCGGATGAAAATAGCTGGTTACCGATCTACAGCATACGCAGTGCCTCCTACATAACCGGTGTTGGGTCATCCGGTTCCCTCGCCTATCCGGACATTTTTGTGGAAAACGGACTGTGTGCGCAGTTAAGCGAGGACTGACTGTAGTTACATGTACATGTACATCAGCGGTTGTTGATTTGTTGATTTGCCTGTGGAGATACATTGTTCACAGTAGTAGTGGTAACTTCACTGAGTCAACAAAACCAACAGAAGAATCACGGAGAGCTGCGTAGCCTGTAACAGTATCAACAGCAATATTCTCTGCAACATCAGCAGTTGCACAACCAGTAACATTATGATTAATTATATTCTTGTGTGTATACTTGACTGTGAGGAGGTATATCTGTTGAGACTCGCGGCACCGCGCATGCAGGCACAACAGAAGTCAGAGATCTTGTTTGCACGAGGGACTCGAGATGATGGGAATGAGAGAGAACGAAAGGATGAGACACGAGGTTATCAAGGGCCTGGGTAGCTATGGCAATGAATGTACGAGAGCGCGAATGCAGCTACTAGTACCCAGGCCAAAAGGAATTATACGGTAATGCGGAAAAGGGAGAGTGCGGGATCAAGAAGTCGTAGCGTATCCGAGAAGCGGGAACGGAAAAGGGTGCATGCAGTAATGTGTGTATGAGTGCATGTGTACGTGCATATATGGGAGAGAGGTCATTGGTGTGCGAGTGCGTGCATACATGAAATCGTGAACCTAACATATCCGTAAATCCTAGAATAACCAGAAAACTGATGATTGAACTGTTTCTTCAGCAGAGTCATGCATGCTACACGATACAATCAGTGAACACACAGTACACACACAAATTACATTGTACTCAAGTGAATTCAATACTCAGTGTGATGTGTGCTGCACGGCTTACACACATGCACACACACACACACACACACACACACACACACACACACACACACACACACACACACACACACTCACACACACATACACACACGCAATCACCCTTACTCACACACACCCTCACACGCACACACCCTCACACGAGAACACATACGCACGCACATATATACACATACACACACACACACACAGAGATGTCACTGGATAACACACCAGGTACATGGATAGCTGAAATTGCTGTCTGCATGTACACCATTCTGGAAGTTGTGCAATCATTGACTGTTGGTCGGTAGATCAAACTTGAACTTTACGTCAGCTCTGTCCTTGCCTACTCCTTCAGCAACGGCTGGAAGTGATACAAGGCTTGCAAAGAACACCGTGTACTGCGTGCACACAAAAACACACACACATACACACACACACACACACACATGTACACAAATCGCACACTAAATTATCGGGCGAGCATTTACAAGATGCACTGCGCTTGATATAATTACGACGCTCGATAGGAAATAAGAATACAAGTGATACCAGACAGGCACAGTGGGTTGGTCAAAGACCATGATTGAGATACGAGAGGTACCTGGTTCAAGTCCTGCCTGGGAGCGGTTTTTCCAGCCGTGCTGCTACCCACAGTCAACTGGGAACTTGTGGCCAGGCACAAGGGGTACATGGATGCAGCTAATGGGGTCGCTCTCGGCACTTGTGCCAGTGGTTGTGAGACTTATCCACACACCCCCACCGTTAGGCGCTGCATCTGCCGCTAGGGTTTACCGGGTGTTAGCGGCCGTCGTGAGTTCCCTTCGGGAACGGACACGATAATTTACTTTACTTTTTTTAATACAAGTGATGATACCACCCAACCTACATGTGTGTGTGTATTTTATTCCGGCATTGCATAGCATTGCGTAGCATTGTCCAGCATTGTATACAGCCTGTCTGTCAGTGTGTACGTGAACAAGACAATACTGGCTCTGATACATTCCCTCACTGCTGTACAGTCCTAGCATGTATCACCACTATTACCCATGTACATACTCACACTCACTATTACCCATGTGCACACTCACAGCCACTATCTGCACCGCAGTGTTACCAAGTGCCCTCTGCCCCCATGCGTACTGCCCAGTGCCATTTTGCAGAATTTTGCAGAGTTTTCCGTACTTGTTTTTCAGGTCAACATTTTGACTGATTTAGTGTAATTTGGAACAAAAAACGATACTGTACAACTTTTCAAGCTACAGAGTTCACTTGTGAAGCCTACGAATTCAGTACAATTTTCAACTTCACCAGGTCATAACTTTAGTCTACTTCGCTTGATTTTCACAATCTAGGGCTTCTTGGAAAGCTCTTGGCAGGAGCAACGCCAGGATGCCAAGCTCCATGATGAAGCCGTCACAAATCAGGCGCGGTAACACAGCAAAGTCGTCTCCAAGGCTAAAACGCAAGCAAATTCGTCCCAGCAAAAAGGGATTTCCCCCACAAATGGCGAAGAGATCGATCAAAAATTTGATTTTGCCGAGGTAACTTTTTAAGAATACCTGAATACGGCGCACGATATCTCTGGAATCCGACATCGTTACGCTTCAGCGATTGTTGCATTGGATAGCTTGGAGTTGTTGCTACCACGTAGACCCTTCGATTATTGAATTCGCGCAAGAAACGATGGAGTTACGAAGGTACACTCATACCTCGGTTATCCGGACTTCGAAGTTACGGGCACTTCGGTCTACCGGGCACTATTTGGGCGAGTTTCCGGGGAAATATTACTACTCTTTTGTCACTTTTCGTAGAAATATTGACGTCATATGCCATATCGATGGCCTTTTCCCCATCAAGATGTATATGATTCGGAGTTACGGGCACCCTCGAAGTTACGGGCAGTGTCCGGTCCCGAAGCGCCCGGATAAGAGAGGTATGAGTGTATTAGCAATCGTTCATATACATGATCGTTTGCGGGATATTCGATTGAAATCCGTACTGCGGACAAAACTTCGTTTTTCCGTAAAAATACGGACAAATACGGGCGGTTGGCAACACTGGCACCGTATGACAATCTTTCAAGTGGTACAGCCTCTTGTACGGGCAAAGAACAAAGTAATATAGCTAGCGTGTGTTGAGAAAATAAGCGGAAACGTACTATGCTGTGAAGCACGCATGAGGCACGATCAGGGCAAATGACAGCTGAAAAGGTTGACTAAAAACAAACACACACACACAACAACAAGTTGTGCCATACGCATGAATGTTAACGGCCAACGCCAAGGCCGACACCATCGCAAATTGCCAGCCCACCGAGACGACGACGTGAACCCCGGAGACGAAGGTCGACAGCCCGGGAAACAGCAAACTGATGGTGGATCCGCACCTATGACATGACCTTGCTGTAGGACTTGTCCCACCTGGAGGCAAGGCGCATAGCAAGTCGCCGTTGATACGCACGGTACTCTGTGTGCAGTGCACCATCAGTTGAGCAGACCAGCGGGGCGAAGGATGCTCGCAGCTCCTCTGCGGCCGCCTTGTACTTTCTCTTCTTGGAAGAGGCAGCACTGTTGGATACGGCGTTCCAAGACCAATTTAGGCACCCAAGATGGCAGAGGTCGTATCTGTTCACGGGGGAGACAGATGAACCCCGGAACATACCACCCTGGGGCCTAATAAAATACAACTCCGAGGAGAGGGCAACTTTGTCTAATAGTTGTTGTTTTATTTAGAACAAAGAGGAAGACATGTTTCATGCGCATGCGTATATCTGGTGAGGGAGCTGACGTCATGCAGCGAGGTCGTTACAGTACTCCCCCACCAGAGAACAAGCGGAGCGCAGAGAACGACAGAGAAAAAAACAAGAAAAGAGAAAGAGCGCTGCATGGCGTACCAAAGTTTTCAAAGTGGCAACAAAGGCCGAAACAGGGGGATAAAAATGCAGGAAGCAAAAAGAGATGCGTGACAGAGGCGGGTTAACATGTCAGAGGTGGAGAGCATGTCAGAGGCAGAAAGAGAGAGAAAAAGAACTGTATGCAAACTGTGAAGGCAGAGGCAAAGACGCGCAGTAATCAGTTGCGGGAAAACTTGCCGATGAACAGCCCATGTAGCCGTGTATCAATGTGGCGAGGCGGCGACTGGGTAGTCGGCAGCCAATCCAGGTACGGAACATGACAGCAATACAATTGTGTAGTAGTAGCAGCAGTGCTGGCTCCACGACTGGGGAGGCTTTGCGGGTGGGAGGGGGCCAAGCTCCAGCTTGTGGCCGGCGCACACTGGACGGTGGTTGGAGGGTGGTTGCTCCACAGCTGCTCCAAGTCCAGGCGGTGAGGTGCGGATGTTGAGGCTCAAGTTTAATGTCAACAGCCGGTAATTGACAGGCAGCCAAAATGTGGTGCACGCAGGAACGGACTGCGGCGAAAACCAGTGATGGCTGGCAGGCTGACGGGCGGAAACAGCATGACGACGGATTGCGGCGGCAGGAGGGCGTAGTCCGCAGCAGCTCCAGGTGTGCCGAGGGCGGGTGGGCGGCGAGAGGCACCACAAATTCCCAAATCCGGAAAGTCAAAATACGTAAAACTATAACTAGTACTCCGCAAGCGCAGCGTCAGGGGTCACCAATGTACACACTCACAGCCACTATTACCCATGTACGCCACGATCCAAGACTGGAATCGTCTCCCATCTGCCCTGCTATGCAACCTTCCCACGCAGAAGGGAATGCAGGCATTCAAGGAAGGCGCCTACAAGTCTCTCCGCAGTCGAGACTGGCACTCAGCCACAGATGCCCTCGGAACCCTCCCTGAACACCCTCTCCGCTTGCACCCTGGCTCCCCCTTTGTACTCCATCACATGTATCATCTTTCCATTTTTCACCCTCTACACAAATGTATTCCCCCTCCCCTCCCCTCTGTGCCTACTCCTCCCCACTTTTTGGTGCACTGAAGTGTCGCTGAAGCCGAGACCTCAGGTCGGCGGAGATGCTCCAGTTTCACCACCACAGTTGCGTCTGCAGCCACCTCTATCATGCAGTATTCTGTTCTCGAGGTTCGTGGTTTCTCGTAAAAACACCAAAAAACAACAACAATAACACATACCTGGGAATATGCTGATGTTGTGCAACGTCTTCCTGCAATCAATCCGAGATGAACTCCAGGATAGTAGAGCTGCTATAATTGAGCTCGGAATTGTGCAGTGGAGGTTGAAGTTTGTCCATAGAGCATGGGTTCCCGTACAAGTGTACACCCTCCATCCCCATGATTCCTGGTGACTTGAGCATGGCTTGAATGCCATCATCGGTGATCTTGCAGTTCTCGAGGCAGATCAATCTCAAGCTTGCGTTCTTCCGCATCATATCCACCAGGGCATGCACTGTGGCATTACCAATCTCATTGCCTGCCACATCCATCCACTCAATACGTGTATGGTGATGGAGAGAGTGTAGGATACTTGCACCAACTTCATCACTCATGCCCGTCGCGCCAAATGAAATGAAGCACAGCCGGTGGAATCTAGAAAGAAGCTGGCATAGCAGTCTGCAATCAGCATGACTGGGCTGTACACCACTAAACACTGGGTTGCGCTGCAGAACCAATGCACTGACATGTGACTGTGGTGATGTCACTGCTTGTAGAATACTCACAACACCAGATAGCTGTATCCTATTGCTGTCCAGAGCAAGGTATTTCAGCACTGTGTTGTGAGCAAGGCCAGATGTTGCCAGAGCAGTTGCTCCAGTATCCGTGATGTTACACTGTGCTATGTTCAGTTTGTCTAGCCCAGTGTTGGTAGCAAGGTACTGACCAAGTGATGCCATCATGAAGTCATCAACATGGCCTGGAAAATTGCCACCATAAGAACTGACCAGATCATCAATTGACCTAGTCTGCACTGAAGTACCAGTAGCACAGCAGCTGCCAATGCTGATTTTGTCATTACCACATTGATTAGACGTAGCCACTTCCTGTAGAAGACGGATTGTTACACCAGTGCCGTTCAGATACACCCTGCATTGTGGTAATTTTGCGCTGACACTCCCAGTGTGCTCACGACCGCGACGAGCTTGCAGAAAGTCAACAACACTAGCGGCTAGCTCATCAGTCAGTCTGTTGTTCTGAAAGTGAAGATGCTGTATGGAATCATGGGAATGGAGACTGGATAGTACACATGACACGTCACTGTTGGAGAGTAAGTTGTCATTCAGCCATAGACTGCACAGGTTTGGCAGCTTTGTGACCAGTGTTGCCAAGTCGGAGCCACATCCACTATCCAGACTGCACAGTCCCAGCATTAGCTGTTTGAGATGACAACATGGAGCCAAGTTGCTCACAAATGCAGCCAAACCATCATCACCGAGCTGAGTATCAGCAGCACCCAGTTGCATTAGACTTTGGTGTTTTACACATCCAGCAAGTGCTGCTCCATCTGCAGATCCACTGGTCAACTTTGTGTGGTTAATGTCAAGAAGCTGGAGGGTACGCCGTGTTGATCTAGACAGTGTGCTTGATATGCTTGCCAATGCTGCTTCAGTGAGATTGGCCTGACGCAAATTAACCTTGACGCATTTATCCAGTTGGCTAGACAGCAAAATGACACTGTCACTTGACAGATCACAAATGCTGAGATCCAGAGACTTAACATGGTCAACAAGTTCCAAAACAGTATGTAGAGCCATCACATCAACAACTGCAAGGTGGATTCCCCTAACATCAATTCCATCCCCTGCCAGGAGGTTGGCTGACATAGCATAGCAGCTATGGGTGACTATGTCCGTGTTCTGATTGGGATTTCCCAGAGCGCGGTTATGTTGGAGTGAAATGCGGTTTTCCATCAAACATCTCATCATGAACAGAAGCATCTTCTTCTTGCTCTTGGCAACGTGATCCCTGACGCTGTTTTCAGACTTCAGAGCCAGCAAAGATGAAAATAGAATGTCTGGCTTCAGTGCTCCGAAGACAAACTGCCAGAAGACAAGTGTGTTCAAGTCTGTGCCGACAGTTTTGATGCAGCTGCGGATGATGTCTACGCACGAGTCAGAAGAAATGATGCATCTCGATGCACACCACTCTTGCAGTGTCAAGTGAGTCAAGGACACAGTCTGTGTGGAACCGACGGCCGACGGATGCATACCAGGGTTGAGCAGTAAGCCGAGATCTTGACAAAGGGACTGGTGGAGGGTTGACAGCGTGGATGTAAACGTAGCCATGCCCCTTTGATATGTTGCAAGACACATTGTGCAGAGGTTGTGCAATGCCTTGACAAGCTCCACAGCATGGTGATCACATTCCTCATCATTGATGCTTGTTTCCTTCACATAGCGCTCCAAATGATGCTCTATTACCACGGGGATACTGACAAGATCACCACAACTGAAGTGTCGGCCACCACTGCAGTGACTGATGACGTCATGCGAAAGCCGTACTTGACCAAACTTCTTTTCTCGTCGCTTTTCCAGCTTTGCGACCGAGGAGCGTAAGTAGTGGTCGTAGAAAAGTGTCACACTGGAGGGTAGAGAGTTGTTGATGGGATATTGCTGAACGAGCAGAGCACATAGGAGTGGGGATTGTCGAATGGCTTCCTTCAGCAGACAGTTGGTCCGTTGGGAAAGCTCTTCCATACACTTCTTGGCAGCCTCCTCTCCGAGCTGTCGTGAGCAGTACGCAAAGAGCTGGTCTGCTGAGAAGCCGAGAAGTCGGAAACGCAAGGAGAAATGCTGGATGTGATGATACACTTCAGCACACGGTCGGCTAGTTGCAATAACGATAGCATCAGGTAGTAGTGAATGGTTACTGCTGCTGCTCCTCACTATTACAGTTCGGGCTACTGATTTGTTCCCAAACCCATCTTTGCCAAGTTCGTCGATGCCATCGATAACGATCAATACTTGGTCGGAATGCTCAGAGAGGTAGTTGAGCAAGGTAGATTGAGCCCCTGTACTGATGCGCAAATGGTCCAATTCCAGAAATACACACCAATCGGCTGACTTTATACGTTTCAAATCACGGCATGGCACATAGAAAATGAATTCAATCTTTGCCAGATTCCCAGTCGTTGTCTCCATGACGTCGGCTATGACTCGTTTGCTCAGTGTTGTCTTTCCCTGCCCAGCGTTCCCAATTACGATGCAACTTTCCAGAATGTCTTCGTCAACTGTGTCATCACCACCACCAACACCAGCACAACTTTTGCCACCGCTTGTTACACCTTCATAATAATGGGGATCAGACAAGAGCTGCTTAGCGCTGGACAGAACAAACTGCCTTCCTCCTTCCACTTTGTCACTCTTATCTTGTCTAGCTCCTGGGATAGCAACGCCTGGTGTACGGTCAGATATTGGCTGTCTTCCAGTGACACGGCGAGTTGCAGCTTGTTGCGCACGATACGTCAGCTGCAAAGCATCTTTCTCCGTCAGAGCCTGCATGGGCACGAAGCAATCCTTGACATCGCCGGACAAGCAAGTTAGATCTGAATGATCAGCGGTTGTCTTGCACAGACGTGTATTCACTCTGTTCAGGTGTTGTTTAAGACGTTGAACGTGTCCACCAATGTCTGCTCCATCATCATTCCTTGCCAGTGTATAACGTGTCACTGTCACATTAGTAGCTGTGTTGTTGGCTGCAGGCGTAGTAGCAACATGAACTGTGGTGAGACACAATGGGACAAATCAAAAACAACAAGATATATAAACTCGGATTTTGAGCCAATAGTATTAATTTTAAGAAAGAAGAAAGGACAAATCAGTTACTAGTTATGACTAACAGTCCACCAAGGACTGTTAGTCATAACTAATTAGCTGTTGGTCCTCTCTTCTTTCATACAAAATATTTGATGGTATATCATTGTACACTTGTATGGCAGTTACATGGTGACAAGTATGTTACGGGGTTTGCCACTGAGTACGCCACCACGTGTGTATTTATGATACTTCCATTTCTCCTGTGGAAGTGCTTTGGCTTTTTCCTGAACTCTTTTTGCAATCACAACAAGAAACTGTTTGCTCTGGTTTTATGTACGTGTGCAAGGCGGTGGGAGGGGAGTGAGAGCTTCGAAAGAGCCCATCGTCGGCTCACAACGCTACGACATTACCTTCTCCCCTGGCCCCCGCCACTCAATAAAGCACCAATCTGTTAGTTTCTTACAGGTACCCAGACTAGTAAATACCTGGTAGGGTGCAGGGGGAAAATGGGGAAAGTCAAGACTCAAGAAGAGGACCAAGGCAAAGACGATGGAACAACAAAGAAAAATTAGTGATAATAGTGCGGACGAACAGCGACGACCAATCAGAGACCAATACGTACAGAACACAGGACCAAAACTGAGACAACCAAACCATGGACGGATTGCTCATTACTCCCACTCCCAGATCAAACTAGCACTGCATGCGCATAAACAACACTAACTTGACGATCACTCACTCACAGGCAGAAGCATGCTTATACCGTGTCAACACGCCATTGAACTCTGCCTTTCTCCCTAGAGCTTCCTAAAACACCTCCGTGCATACACTGGGCACACTGCTTACCGTCAGTAGTTCCTCGCTGGTCTTCGGGCAGTAGGAGAATCATCTTCCGGTACATGTTGTCGTACAGTGGAGACATTCCATGGATTGCATCGCAGAGAAGACTGTAGGCAAGATTGCCTCCTGGTTGGATAATGTTAATGATATAAGAGTTGTGAGCTTCATTTCCTTCGTACTTCTTTACGCGCTGCAGCTCCTGTAGTTGTGCTACATCAGTGAAGAAGCCCTTGCTCTGCACGGCACGTCGAAATTGGTCAGCATCCAATTTACCGATCCATAGTAGTATGTTGGATAAGAAATCCGTATGCTTGAATGGGTCTTCTGCACAGCCCAGGGGAGCACACAATACCACAATAGAACAATAGCAGAATAGCACAATGCCAGAATGACAGCGGGAATAGAAAGCAATGATACAACCTCTCCTACCCGGGCCCTTAGGGAACTGAAGGGTGCCCACATCTCAGGCTTACCTATGACTGGGGAATACACTACAACAATAATGTAGATGGCATATTGTTCTCTTCTGTTGGGCTCATGAGGGACGTAGCCCACGAGTGGTACATGGGGGGCATGTGTACTCTCCTCCTCTCCCCCCCCCCCCCACACATCATGACTAGTAAATCTCTCAGCCTGTGTTCACCGTGTGCATGTCAGCAGGCCTCTTCTTTCAAATTTTTGACTGGGACACAAACAAATTCTACATTCCGGACCAATCAAAAACTGCTTCCGGCGGTTCTGCGCTTGATCTTCTGGCAGTCAAATCTGTCGTAAGCGACCCGCCCCTTGGTGCAAGAAAAAGCGGTCTCTTATGGCAGATGGTCTCTTACGGCAGATGTATGTTAAATCCGGCATACCGGGCATGCATACCGGTATATGCTTCCATGTACTCAAATCGACGAGAACGAGAGAGCTTGGAAGCTCAGGGCCCTACACTATGCTTTTTTGCCTTGATGACCTAGACAAAACAAGCATAGGGATGTTATAAATTCTTATAAGTTTCTACTTTTTGTTTGAGACATAACCTGAGATTCGAACTCGCACTATCGCCCTGCATGCATCCCCCCATACACTTCGCATACATAATAATTCTCCCAAGTTGCTTCACGTTATGATCTTGTATTTGAAAGCCCTATTTGAATATGCATTGTGGCCAGCCGTCTTTGAATGTACGGTACGGTACGGGATAGGTACGGGACAGGTACGGGACAGGTACGGTCGAGGGTAATACGACACCGTCTACCGCCTTGATGACGGCAAAAAAAGAAAAGGGATGTTATAAATTTTTCAATTCTCCAATTTTTTAAGGCGTTACCTGGGATTAGAACCCGCACTATCGCCCCACGTGCATTCCCCCATACACTTCGCATTCATACTCATTCTTCCAAGTTGCTTCATGTTATGATCTTGCGTTTGAAAGCCCTATTTGAATAGTTGCGGCCAGCTGTATGTGGCCAGCTGTGTTTGATGGTACGGTACGTACGGGACAGATACGGGATAGCGCCAGGCGTGACACAAACACACAAACAAACACCAAATTAAAGCTGTGTGGACCCTGGCTAGCACCAGGTTCAGTAACGTCTTCTGCATAGCTACGGGAATAATGTGATTTTTAATATCATTTTATTGGATATTCAATAGAATATAGGGGTGCCAGGGCCAGTCGATCGCACTACTTGCAAGACAGCGCATTTTCACACCTTGCAGTTGACAGCGCACTGGCAAGTACAGTTTCGCACCTGACTGAACCTGGGTCGCGGTCGCTTACAGCAGATTTGAATGCAGCCACCGTGCATGAAATCATGGTCGCTGGTCGCGCACAGCAGATGGTCGCTCTGGACAGATCAATTTGTATGTGAAACCGTCGGTGCACGGAAAATCGGTCGCTAACGGTAGATGGTCGCCTACAGCAGAGGTCGCTAACGGCGGATTTGACTGTACTTCTGCCAAAGAACCACGCAAAAAAACAAATTCCGCAGTGGGTGAACCCACCACAGGTCGAGACAGAAGTTGCCCATTCTTGGTTATGTACTCTTGCTATTGATAAACATGACTACTGACCTGACTGTGACATTGTCACATGACTACTGACCTGACTGTGACATTGTCAATCACTGCAGCTACTGCAGGCACTGTTTGATGTGATGATCATCAATGTGTTGATAGTATGCTCACCAGATTGTTGATATCTTCACAGCGGAAATCATGCAAACACACGCACACACACACACACACACAAACACACGTGCACACACACACACGCACACACTCACACACACACGCACGCACGCACACACACACAGACACACACACACACACACACACACACACACACACACACACACACACACATGCACATGTTAGTCATTTCCCTGGGTGATTGTTCACAACTGCCATACAGACATAGAACACCATTCTACACATCTGTTGAGAGAGGAATGTTATCAACTTCAAGCTGGAGTGCAACTGACCCGGCATTTCGTGTCAGTGAACCAGGAGAGGTTAGTGTGTTGGAAAGCTTAAAGTAAGAACGTACAGTGGATGGGCAGAAGACCTCAATGATATCAAAGTCGTTGAGTTTTCCAGCAAACGTATGGCAACCCAAAAGGCTTTTAAAACCTCTCTGTAGACTATGATAGTAATAGCACAGCACAACTGCTACACAACTGCTGCAAAGCTCGAGTCCAGGAAGTCTATGGATGCGCAGAGTTCGCAGTAAGAGAATGTCACACCCCTTTGGCCCGGCAGTTAACACCCCTTTGGCCCAGGCAGTGTACCCCCATTTTTTTCACCCCCCCCCCCCCCCCCCGAGTCAACATATCGTTAGCGGAGCTGTCACCAATGGCAGCAAGTGACCCACTTATTCAAACCGTTCAGTCTGACAAAGTGTGCGTGGGGGAGGGGGGGGGGGACTTGTTGTCCAGGGGATGGAAATCCCTGGGTTGGTGATTCTCCCTAAGCTCATATTCTTAAGACTGCATTACCAGAAAAACAATAACATTGTTTTTCTATAATGATACCATTCCTTGACCCCTGCAACTCCACCCTGCCAACTAGTTCCTCCATCATACCCTACATACAGTGGCCCTCATTGCATTGTTACCCAAATAAATAATTGTTGTCCTTGAAAAAAAACCCATACAGTGGCCATTGCCAAATGGAAAATCATAAATGCAGCCTCCTGAAAAGACCAGCTCCCAGGATCTAGGACTGACCAGCATAAGCACTGCATGTATGAATACAAGGCAGTAAGTGAGCTGTGCACTGAGCTTGGCCATTCTGTATGCACTTGGTCGGATTGCAACTTGCAGTTTACAAACACACACCACAGGACTTCTACAGTAACGTAGATCTACCAGGGACACAGCTAGGGTTAATCGGGTGTTAGCGGCCATCGTGAGTTCCCTTCGGGAACGGGCACGATAATTTACTTTTTTTTTACGGGCACAGCACCCGCTACGACTGGTACGACCATGGCCGATTGGCCGTAACACTTTTCGGAAAATGGTCCATCTGGAACGTGCAAAACCGTAACAAAAATATTGGGACCCGTCAGATCTTCGTCTTTTGTTTGAGTTTGACCTCATACTAGTACTCGACTCGACACAGGTACACTTGGTTCGTATCGCGGCACATGAACCACAACCTGTCCCCGGGGAAAATCGCGATTCCGCGGCCGTGTTTTTTTCGGCGTTTTTGCGGTTTTTTAAAAGACTGTGTTTTTGGCGATTTTCTCGTGTTTTTTGAAATTTTTGTTGCACTACACGTACACACAGTGCACTGTTCGGTTGACCGTTGTGAGCCGTTGACGTCACAAACTGGTCAAGTAGAGAGTCTACGTGTAGGGCGCGCGCTCCCTAGCATACACATGGCCAGAGACTTGTAACTGATTGATTTCACTACATACTCACTGAAAATTGCCTCATATCAACTGCAAACTTGCCGCATATCAATAATATTCACCGCATATTTACCGCAAATAATTAATTCACCGCAAATTATGCCATATTTACCCGCAAATTACACCGCAAATCCTGGGATTTTTCCGCGATTTTCCCCTAGGACAGCATAACATTCTATGACTATAAATTAGTAAAAAATGTGCCAAAAGTACCCACCCATGGCCCAGAACACAGGATCTAGGATTTGTCGTTTTTACAAAAATTCGCAGGGGAGCCCCCCCCCCCCCCCCCCCCATTCACAGCCAGCTCCCTCCATTGCCGGCATTGGTTGTACCAGTTCACAAGCCCTCCTACGCCCTGTCTGCGATGTAGTGAAATCCACTCATGCACAGCTGGGCTAGTCGCAACTCACCCGCAGGCGATCGCGAGGTATGGTTCTAAATCTCAGGACCTCCAATTATTCTCATTTTTGAACCTTTGTGCTTGATTACACACAGACAGTGAGAATTCTAGGTTTCTGCTCCCAGAAAGTGGGGACCAGGAACGATTTCGATACTCGGCCCGCAGACCAGGTTCGATCTACCAAACTCTTGCCCTCGAACGGAAACAGCATTCATAATTATTAGCAGCACTAGCACTAGCACTTCACCGCTCGTCGAGTCAAAGCAGCGTGTTCACATAGCGATAGAACGTTTTCCCACAAAGGAAGGGGAGTAGGGGCCCGTTTGAACGATACAGCTCAGCAACTCACCGTCAATTATTTAGGACGTGATGGCCATTGTACCTGTGAGCCTGCCGTTCGGAAGGCACGCGGACGTGGCAGTAAGCCAGGTGATGACGAGGATGATTCGGTACTGCGCGTGACTCTTCACTCGCGGCGTTTTTCGCAGTTCTCGACTAGAACCGTGATGTATACTGGTAGACTACAGCAGGAGAGACGGAAAACTGGACATTCACAGCGGCCGTTTCTTTAGAAGTCACCCAGTATCAGTGACCACGCACAATGATTCAGATTGGTGTATTCGCCACTCCAGCAGTCTGCCACAACCCTTGCCCTCGTCGGATAATAATGCAGTACTGTCTATAACATGTATAATGATCTACGACGAATACAGGCAGCAGAACTTGATGTGGTGCTACCGACGTCTGCTCAGACTAGTACTAGTAGTAGTATCCTGGAGAAGCGCACGAATGAAAGTATGCTGGTGGAGTTGGGAGTACAGAGACAGCTGCTAGCCAGTCAAGATACGCAAACTGACCTACATATTTCGGGCACACATGCCGGCCATCTGGCTGCGAGCTTGTACGTGACGTGATGTTCGGTGTCGTGGATGGTAAGAGAAAGCGTGGTCGTCCGAAGATTTCCTTCGTTTCGTTTCGTGGACTGGTAAGTGGTATGTCTCTGCATGAGAGTTGCCAGTTGGCATCTGACAAAGATGCCTGGCAGTCACACTGTGCATCTACTGCTTACACAGCTGCATAATGCCGTTTATTTTATATTTTATTTATTTATGTTAGTACGTGTGTCTGTCTCTCTGTATGTTAGTACATGTATGTGTGTCTGTCTTTTACTAGTAGTATGTGTGTCTTTCTCTCTGTCAGTCTTCGGGCAATTTATGCTAATCTGTCTGTATCTCTGTCTCTAGACTGTCTTCCCGCCTCAGATCCGATCAGGTGAACCACACCGATCCAGACACAACTGGCAAGGGCCCAGGACAATGCCCGTGTCAGAAGTACTGTATGCAATTAACACATAATCCAATCCGGGGACGTTCACCGCATCACACCAAGAGCACATAACCCCCGCCCGGGGAATAACCCCCCCCCGGCCTGAGGACGGGGGGTCATGTACTCTTGATCACACGAACTAAGAACATACCAGTATAGACATGTACACCAAAATTGTTTTAAAACCATGCAAATTGCCGGAAGAAAAGTAACAAAGTAAAATGCTTTCTCTGGATACTCCTTGGTCACCATACTTACAGGTATTGACGTAAAAAGCGAGAAGAGAAACGAGAACGAAAAGATGTTGCTGAAGCCCTGAATCCAACCCAGGCCGCAGACTGGCTATAAGGAGAATGTTAGCCATGATATAAATCAAAGTAACTGAATAGACGGATCCGGACAAATGAGGGCCTAGGGTTTAACTGCCATGCATGAACATAATCACTGGGGTAAGCCGCGACAATGCATGCGGCAGATGATCGAGCACGGCCGCGCTCAAACTGCGGCAAGCGGCGCTGACTAGGGGTATCCATCTCATGTCTATGCTGTGGCGGTCACATGCTGCAAAACCTAGTATCCGTGACGCCACTGCTGAATACATGCCGCTGGACGTACAAGTTACCTAGTTAAAACCCTAGAATCAATTCTTACTATTAGTAAATTACGCATGGCCTGTAGAAAAGTACACCACAAGCAGTATTAGCCATGTACAATGTAGTAACGTTAGTACAATGTACAATGTAGTAACAGTCTTCTTAGCAGAGCTCAGCACACACAGTGTCATGACCAGAAATCAGGGAATGCATGTTCATGTCAATGATCCTCTCATTACCCTGCCTGGGTGCTTAGGGCATGACGTCAGCAGTGACATCATAGTGAAATGCAATGATGTCATGCAGGTAAAGAGATAACAATCACAGTGAAGGAATGTCATCGTGAAGATCGACTCGGAGGTAGACGGCTGCAAGCTGGATTACACTTGAGCCGACTCGATGGTGTTGACCATGACCACTGGTTTCTTGTTGCTCGGGCGTACATCATCCAGCTCAACAGGCTTGCTTTCATGGGCACCGGTTGCCGAGAATCCCTCATCATCATCATCGTGTACGTCGGTGCTATCATCATCGCTCTCACGCTGCACCAGGCTGTGTGTCCTAGACGTGCAGGCGCTCCACAGGGACATGAGCAAGGGGCAGAAATACGGGCCCAGCAAGTAGCACGACCACCAGAAGCAGAAGTCGTACTCGTTAAAATCTCTCCACGTACCGGCCGTTATCCAGTTGTGTGCCGTTACCAGTGCACCAGCTATCAGGAAACCTGTTCACACACACACACACATACATGCACACACACACACACACACACACACACACACACACACACACATACATACACACACGTGCACGGACACACACACACACACACACACACACACACACACCTCAGACCTCAGACCTGCCCATCGCGGAAGCGATGATAGCGAACAGCTATATACATGACAACTTGTGTTGGGATTACACCATTCAACAGCTTGCAAGGCTGATGAATTGACCGCCACCAATTTTTAGCCTGGTATCCACCACACAGCTGATTGAAGTGGCTTTTTCTGGCCAGTGAATCCCTATTATTCATTTTTTTCCATTTTTTATTCATTTTTTTACACACACGCCACACCACATACTCCGGCATACACTGGCTGTTGGTAACCACTGAGGAGAATGAAAGAAGAGCTAGGAGAATGAGAAAGAGAAGAAAGACGTGTGCGACCATAATCGTCGGGAATTGAACCCGCAACCTCTCGATTGGAAATCGACTGCACATACCACTGCACTATATGGGACACACACACACACATACATACACACATGGGCATGGACACACACACACGTGCATGGACACACACACACAGACACGTACACACACGTACACGGACACAAGAAAAGGATAGATCTGCTCAAAACGTAATACTGGCGGAGATATGATTGATAGGCTGCAGTTGAGCCTCCGAGTACTAGTATTGATCAGATACAGAAAGCTTAGGATAATCACAACATTGTGCAACTCACTTTGTACCCACTCGGATAAGACATCCAGGTACTCATGCTTAAAGGGGAAGTTAAGGCAAAAATCAAAATTTCACCAGTTGTAGTCTTCGGGGTGCTGAGTCGAATGGTCTTGGTCCGAGAAAGCTGGGACGCTCCCTTCCTACTTGAATCCCAATCGAACTCGCGCACTTCCACCGAAACTGGGTGACTGCGCCCTACTAGATGGGGATTTGTATGCAAAATGTCACTAAAAGCGCCATTTCGTTCTTATAAAAGCACGGATGACCGCGATTGGCCCATATGTTGTAGTCTTTTGGACGCTGAGTCGACTGGTTTTGGTCCGAAAAGGCTGCGATGCAGCGTTCCTCCTTTATTCCCAATCGAACATGGTTGAAGAAGCGGTCACGTGCTCCTGGGTGCCCAAATCACCTGGTCACCACGCCAGCAGGCGACAGCTTTCACACCAAGGTTCAACTCGAATTCAACTCGAGTGACAGGACTGCACCCAAAAAAGGTCAAACACGCTAGTAGGTTGTACCCTGCAGGCACGGTGACCAGGTGACTGGTGTACGCAGGAGCACGTGACCGCTTGTTCGACCATGTTCGATTGGGAATAAAGGAGGAACGCTGCATCGCAGCCTTTTCGGACCAAAACCAGTCGACTCAGCGTCCAAAAGACTACAACATATGGGCCAATCGCGGTTGTTGTGTTCACTACTAACACCTCAAAAGTTTCAGGATCGCACAGACGCCACAAGACAAAAGGTCACGTAATTCTTTACGGACTATAATGAACGAACAGTAGAATACATTGAGAAGAAGAGACTGGAAAAACACGAACTACATCGGAAAGAGAACTCTAGAACACTAAAGAAAACAAACCACAGCATCAAGGAAAAGAACAACGCATGAGGGGTAAAGCGCTGGCCAGCCACAACGTGCGTCCAACTTTGGCATGAGCGTACAGCGCTCGGAAAGCGGAAGCTAAATTTGGCAAAGCGACAGCAATAGTACGGCGCGAGGCACATGAGCAGTACGAGGCGCGGCACCTATACGCGTGTGCGGCAAACATTACACCCCATGTACCATATATGCATGAACAGCGCGGGGCGCATACTAACTCATTCAACATCAGTGCGCGGCGCAGGCATCTAGCTAGCTGGCGCAAGCATGATCATAATTGCATGCCATCACGCAATCAGCGCACATAAATCGCGCATCAAATAAATAAGTAATCAAACACAAATCAACACATCAACTAAATAAATCAACAAGCTAGCAAGAACACAATTCAAGAATGCAACGAAGAAATAATTACTATTCTAGTCGGTTATTCGCACGGGACCAAGCGCAATGTCCAAGCTGATGAACTGTGATTGCACAAGGTAAGCCCAAGCTCCTGAGCTAACCGTTCTGGTGAGCAGTCTTCTTCGTGCTGCAAACACACACTACACAATGTGTCGTATCTCGTAACAAGTACTGTACCAAATCACAACGAACACTAACAATACGCAATAGTAAACAATAATCAAAAACACTACGCAAAAAAGCAAAGCAAGCAGCACCTAGCCAGGGAGACAAGCAGGAGTCACGGTCGCAACGAGATCTCGACGACACCCCAGAAGACCTTTCTCCGACACGATACACAACATTCTCCCCACCAAAGGGCTTCAACCACACTGATCACAAATCAAGACGAGGTGGTGGTCGAACGGTACGACGAGATCGACGCGTAACTTGCGGTTCAACAGTCGTCGAAGGTATTTCAACATCATCGACGACGTTGACTGGATCAGCGCTCGCGGGTGTCTGCGGCTGCGGCTCAGCGTCCACAGCAGGCGGCTCAACATGCTCCTTCGCTACTTCCAACGGAACCAAGCGTTGAATGGGCCGTAGCATGGACGATTGGCCAACTTGGACTTTGGCCACCCTGCACTTGCCATCTCTTCCAGGATACAGCTCTGCGACCCTACCCAAGCGCCATGATTGCCGCTTCCGGTTGTCGTCGGCAATAAACACAACGTCGTTCACGACAATCGGAGTTGACTTCGACCGATGATACTCACTGAGACGAATGAGATACTCAGACGACCAACGCTGGTTGAGGTGCTCGTAGACGGTGTGGACATACTTGACTCGAGCGGACAACTGCCGTGGATCGAGTGGTCTGTCAGACGAGGCAATACCGGTTGCAAAGATGTCTCCCAACATCATGGCTGGAGTCAGCGGCGACTCGTCAGCTACATCCGTAGAAACCGGAGTGAGGGGTCGAGAGTTGACGACTCTCTCGATCTCCGTCAAGACAGTGAACAGCTCGTCTCGACTCAATGACGCTCGACCGAGAACCTTCTTCAAGGGAGCTTTCACACATGCCACCAGACGCTCATAGAACCCTCCATGCCACGGGGCAGATGGCGGATTGAAGAACCACGGGATTGCCACCTTGTCTGCGGCGGACTTGAACGTCGTAGCATTATCTGAACGTATACGCAGCGGCTTCCCACGACGGGCGATGAAACGACGCAATGCTAGCAGGAACACCTCTGTCGACAGGCTATCCACGAGCTCTAGGTGCACTGCGCGAGTAGTACCGCACACGAAGAGTGCGACCCACACTTTCTGAACATTTGATGAACTGCGCACGTACAAAGGACCTGCATAATCAATACCTGTGAGACCGAATGGCTGGTGGTGCTTCACCCTGTCTGAGGGCAACGGCGGCATCTCCTCAGCAGCAGTCTGTGCGCGAAATCTGCGGCAAACAATGCACTTCTCCGACACGCTACGAAGAAAACGACGAGCTCCGAGAATCCAGAACTGCTGTTGTAGAAACGCAAGCACGCTCTCTACACCCTGGTGCATTCGCTGAAGGTGAGCATCACGCAGAAACAACTCACTTAGATGACATCTGCCCAGGATGATCGGATGCTGAACCTCGTAGGACAGATCGCTCTCCTGCAGACGACCACGAACTCTGAGCAAACCAGCTTCATCCAGAAACGGAGACAACTTGAACAGCTTCGAACCCTTCTTCAGTGGCTCCTTGCTCCGCAACTGGGACAACTCCTTGGGGAAGCATTGCTCTTGGATGGCGCGAAACATCACAGACTCAGCAGATGGAATCAATTCTGCACGCGAAACACCCTTGTGTCGCCATGACAGCATACTTGCGACCAAACCGCGAGCTCGTTGCCACTTGGAGAACTTCTCCCACGGCCAAACAACTGGAGTGTCAACCTCCACAGCCGACACGCGTGCTTCGGTGACGGACTCATTGGTGCTCTGAAACGAGATGACTGGTGGCCACTGAGACTCATCGCTCAACCATGACGGACCATGCAGCCACATCTCCTTCTGCAAGTCACACACTGGGACACCACGCGAGACAAGATCTGCAGGGTTGCTAACTCCTGGACAGTGACGCCATTCTACTTGCAGCTTCTGCGAAACTTCTTGCACTGCAGCAACTCGATTAGCAACATACGTCTTCCAGTGATACGACGGCTTTGAGATCCAGTGCCATGTGGTTAGGCTGTCTGTCCACCCCACAATCCTTTCAATTGGCACTCTCAATTCATTGACGACAAAGGACAACATCTTCACGCCAAGACACACAGCCGACAATTCCAGACGCGCAAGAGTGGGACGTACAACAGGTGCAACCTTCGCCTTCGCACACAACAAAGCAGACGTCAAACCGGACACAACATAGAAACAACAGCCATAGCCCTTCTCGGATGCATCTGAGAATACATGCAACGTGACTGGAGCATCTGGAGTACACCCGATCCATCTGGGGATTTTAACGGAAGAAAGCGCTGCGAGCTCTCCCCACCATGAAGCACATCGGACAGCCAAATCAATAGGGAATGGGTCATCCCAACCACCGCCGAGCTTCCAACTCTCTTGCAACATCATCTTGCCTGGCACAACTGCGGGTGACGCCCAACCTAGCGGATCGAACACAGCGGCAACACAACGCAACAACGCACGACGAGACCAACCAGACACTTCCTTTGGACACTCAACATCACCGAGCGCAGCCACCGAAATACAATCTGACTCGGTGTTCCACACAATACCCAGTGCCTTGGAACCAGCCTCGGGGTCTGAGGTCATCGTGTTCCCTCGCCACTTCCGCAACTCCATGCCTGCTCCCTGCAAAACATGAACGCTATACTCCTGCAGCTTTTCAGCATCCGCACAGCATGGCAAGCTAGAAACGCAATCATCAACATAAAAACTACGCAGCAGCAGCTCTATGATATCACGCTCAGCAGCAGAAGCAGACTCGAATGCACTATCGAGATGAAAGCGCAGCACAGCACTAAGTATGAAAGGAGAACAATTCACTCCAAAAGGCAGCTTCTTTAAACGCCAGATACACATTTCTTCGCTACCTATCTCAGGCCAAACAAAACGCAGATATGGCCTATCTTCTTCACGCATTCCGATCATAAAAAAAGCCTTGCGAATATCGGCTTGTACAGCACATTCATACTCACGGAACCTGAGGAGGATACCAGTGAGATCCGGTAGGAGTGATGGCCCGGGATCGACCATGTCGTTTAGGGATGGTGCTCCGGTGCAGGCGGCGGATGCATTGAAGACGACCCGTGTCTTCGTCGTTGAGGCGTCGCTACGGAATACGGCATGATGCGGCATGTAATAGCCGGCTTCCTCCGGATGCGGTTCCTTTTCAATGGCATCCAGCTTCAAGTACTCAGTGATGAGGACGTCATCATACGCTGGACGTTGACCTCGTCTCTGTAGCTGCTTCAGCAGTGATTGTGCCGCTGCCATCGCTTGGTTTAGGTTGGCTGGCGGACGCTTCTCAGATCGCCATAGCAATCCCACTTGGTAATGAGGGCCTTGCCGCTCTATCGGGAAGTCCGGTAACGTCTCAGCTATTTCCGGCACCTCTTCCATCTTCCACAGTCGGTCAAGTTCAATACAACTCACACTGACGGTCGCTGACTTGGTTTCACTATTAGCCGGTCCTGACAGCACCCAGCCTATTTCAGTGTGCCAGGCCGTCTCTCCATTGATTTGCTCCTTGCGGAGAAGGAACTCATTGCAGTAGTCAGCTCCAATCAGCATGTGCACTTCGCTTGATCCGGCCTTTGTCGAGTCATCAGACAACTGCAATCCCTGTGACTGCCAACGTGCAATTGTGCTGTCTGCTAGCGGATCGAATCGGAGACCTAGCGACTTCTTTTGCCAGGCATTGACGGAAATGGACTTCGTTGCACCCTTGATGGTGACACGGTACCTGTCCATCTTTTCAAACTTCGGCTCCACGTCAAACGCCTTCAGCCTGACAGTTTGCGATCCAAGGTGTGCCGGTTGCAGCGAGTTCACCAGTGGCGCGGTGATGAACGATGCCTGCGCACCTGGGTCGATGAATATGCGTACACTGGCCTTTCGGCTAGGTCCTTGTACCTCAGCCACGCCGGTCATCAAGTGCACGCTGTTTGCACTACATTCATACGTACCGACTTTCGATTCGGCTATCGGTTCGGATGTTACCTGTTTGTCCTCTCTGTGCAGTAGACTGTGGTGTCGCTTGTTGCAGTGCTTGCAACGACCCTTGTTCTGACAATTCATCACTCGATGTCCTGGTCTCAGGCAGTTGAAACACAGTCCCTCTGCCTTGACGTACGCGTTTCGGTGCTCAGACGCCATAGCTGACAATTTCTTGTTAGCCTCATCAACGCTGACCGTCAAACACTCTGCCGACGCAAACGGTATACGTTTGTCGCTGGTGCTAGACTTGGCAGGCTTCAGCTTGCTACGTCCGTGGGCTGTTTGGTAAGCCATACCATCCTCCGCAAACGCCTTCAAGTCCTTCGTGTAACATCTCTTCTCGATCAAGAAGGCCTTAGTTTCTGCCGACACAGCTTCTAGCAGGACTTGACGTACGACACATCCGAACAATTCAGTGTCGTCCAGCTCACCGATTTGTCCGCGGCTAGAGGTACGGCTAGGCCTGGCGAGTTTTGCCCACTTCTCCGTCTCGCGCGTCACTCGTACCACAAACTGGTAGAAACTCTCCTCACTTTTCTGCTGTATGGCCATCAGGGCTTGCCACGCTTTGTCGGCGGTCTTCCCATGCGCCATCAGCAGCTCGCGCTTCGCTTCGGCAAAGGTGTTGCAGCCATAGCATGCACCTTCCAACTTGCTGCCAGCAACAGCCACGCGCAAGCGGATCAGGTACTCGTCGTCGCTGAACTCATTTTGCTTTGCCACATCCTCGAACAGTTCGAGATAGGTCTCAACAGTCTGCTTACCGTCGAACTTCGGCATCTTGATGGCAGCCCTCTTGCTCGCTAAACTGCCATTCGTCGTATTCAACAAAGTGCTCTCATCACTCTGAGTCTCTCGTGTGTGCTGGACTTGCAACTCCAAATCTGCAATCCTCGCAAGCAGCTGCTCGTCATCTTTCCTTTCCAATCTACTTCCTGCTCGTTCTTCGCGCTCTCTGTCTGCACGCACTTTCTCCTCGTGCTTCTCGATACGCTCCTCTACGTAGGTACGCAATGCCTCTCCAGTGTAGCCATAAGCTTGACCATTTGCGATCAGCTTCGCTTCTACCTCATCCATGTTCACGCGTCTCGATCCTGGCGTGGTCGCCAAAATGTTGTGTTCACTACTAACACCTCAAAAGTTTCAGGATCGCACAGACGCCACAAGACAAAAGGTCACGTAATTCTTTACGGACTATAATGAACGAACAGTAGAATACATTGAGAAGAAGAGACTGGAAAAACACGAACTACATCGGAAAGAGAACTCTAGAACACTAAAGAAAACAAACCACAGCATCAAGGAAAAGAACAACGCATGAGGGGTAAAGCGCTGGCCAGCCACAACGTGCGTCCAACTTTGGCATGAGCGTACAGCGCTCGGAAAGCGGAAGCTAAATTTGGCAAAGCGACAGCAATAGTACGGCGCGAGGCACATGAGCAGTACGAGGCGCGGCACCTATACGCGTGTGCGGCAAACATTACACCCCATGTACCATATATGCATGAACAGCGCGGGGCGCATACTAACTCATTCAACATCAGTGCGCGGCGCAGGCATCTAGCTAGCTGGCGCAAGCATGATCATAATTGCATGCCATCACGCAATCAGCGCACATAAATCGCGCATCAAATAAATAAGTAATCAAACACAAATCAACACATCAACTAAATAAATCAACAAGCTAGCAAGAACACAATTCAAGAATGCAACGAAGAAATAATTACTATTCTAGTCGGTTATTCGCACGGGACCAAGCGCAATGTCCAAGCTGATGAACTGTGATTGCACAAGGTAAGCCCAAGCTCCTGAGCTAACCGTTCTGGTGAGCAGTCTTCTTCGTGCTGCAAACACACACTACACAATGTGTCGTATCTCGTAACAAGTACTGTACCAAATCACAACGAACACTAACAATACGCAATAGTAAACAATAATCAAAAACACTACGCAAAAAAGCAAAGCAAGCAGCACCTAGCCAGGGAGACAAGCAGGAGTCACGGTCGCAACGAGATCTCGACGACACCCCAGAAGACCTTTCTCCGACACGATACACAACAGCGGTCATCCGTGCTTTTATAAGAACGAAATGGCGCTTTTAGTGACATTTTGAATACAAATCCCCAGCTCGTAGGGCGCAGCCACCCAGTTTCGGTGGAAGTACGCAAGTTCGATTGGGAATAAAGTAGGAAGGGAGCGTCTCAGCTTCCTCGGACCACGACCATTCGACTCAGCACTCCGAAGACTACAACTGGTGAAATTTTGATTTTTGCCTTAACTTCCCCTTTAATACGGACATTGTCAGGAGTACAGATGGGTTGATCCATACTGGTGTAACGTTATCCCAGCTAGGATAAGACTAGCACATCGCATGCTTAAAGTTGGGAAATACCGAAAATATTACACCAATGAAAATTCCCGGTTCTACAGTAAACATGCATATCATTCTCACATCGGGCAAGTTTGCATCAGGAACACGATCATCATCACAATGCACTTGCGGTGCACCTTGCACGCCACCGCCACCAGGATGCTGTTGATAAAGTTGAGAATGACGCTCATGATCAGGCAGCCTCGTGTCTGCCGCACATGCCCTGTAGTGAGTAAGACCATGAAGACAGCAATCATGACGATTACCAAGCCAGCGGAGTGAGTATTGACAAGGATACATAGTCAAACTGCGCAGGCCGACTAATAGCCACTGGAGAGGTGTTGTTTACCGTCCCATTCTAGCACACTGTGTTACCTGGATTTGCAATAACTGCGGTTTTAACCGCAGATCTTAAAAGTCTTGAAGCGTACATGTGTTGCATCTTTGGTGTTAGAGAATGATGGTGAATGTTTTTATGACCATTTCGAATCAGTGTGTGTGTGTGTGTGTGTGTGTCACATAATAAGCAAGGACGCTACCATACCAAAAGTCCAAGCCTACTCGTCGCTACGTCCGCCTAGTCAGAAAGTCTTGGAATAGATGTGCATGAAACAAGAGCAAGCCACTATGAGCCAGTTTAGGTGGCGAACAGCAAGAGAGTGGAATGAATGGAGCGATGGAATCAAACCAGCATGGGAGCAGAACCCTTGTACAAACCATGTAATCGAGCAGCTTGGAAGCGGAAAGGAAGTCTGCATGCACTCGTAAAAGCCATGCAATTGAGTAGTTTGAAAGCAGAAAGGAAGCGTGAACACTACACTCTTACAAGCCACGTACAACATCACATTGCTAGCTGATCAGAATACATTGCTAGCTGATCAGAATACATTGCTAGCTGATCAGAATACATTGCTAGCTGATCAGAATACATTGCTAGCTGATCAGAATACATTGCTAGCTGATCAGAATACATTGCTAGCTGATCAGAATACATTGCTAGCTGATCAGAATACATTGCTAGCTGATCAGAATACATTGCTAGCTGATCAGAATACATTGCTAGCTGATCAGAATACATTGCTAGCTGATCAGAATACATTGCTAGCTGATCAGAATACATTGCTAGCTGATCAGAATACATTGCTAGCTGATCAGAATACATTGCTAGCTGATCAGAATACATTGCTAGCTGATCAGAATACATTGCTAGCTGATCAGAATACATTGCTAGCTGATCAGAATACATTGCTAGCTGATCAGAATACATTGCTAGCTGATCAGAATACATTGCTAGCTGATCAGAATACATTGCTAGCTGATCAGAATACATTGCTAGCTGATCAGAATACATTGCTAGCTGATCAGAATACATTGCTAGCTGATCAGAATACATTGCTAGCTGATCAGAATACATTGCTAGCTGATCAGAATACATTGCTAGCTGATCAGAATACATTGCTAGCTGATCAGAATACATTGCTAGCTGATCAGAATACATTGCTAGCTGATCAGAATACATTGCTAGCTGATCAGAATACATTGCTAGCTGATCAGAATACATTGCTAGCTGATCAGAATACATTGCTAGCTGATCAGAATACATTGCTAGCTGATCAGAATACATTGCTAGCTGATCAGAATACATTGCTAGCTGATCAGAATACATTGCTAGCTGATCAGAATACATTGCTAGCTGATCAGAATACATTGCTAGCTGATCAGAATACATTGCTAGCTGATCAGAATACATTGCTAGCTGATCAGAATACATTGCTAGCTGATCAGAATACATTGCTAGCTGATCAGAATACATTGCTAGCTGATCAGAATACATTGCTAGCTGATCAGAATACATTGCTAGCTGATCAGAATACATTGCTAGCTGATCAGAATACATTGCTAGCTGATCAGAATACATTGCTAGCTGATCAGAATACATTGCTAGCTGATCAGAATACATTGCTAGCTGATCAGAATACATTGCTAGCTGATCAGAATACATTGCTAGCTGATCAGAATACATTGCTAGCTGATCAGAATACATTGCTAGCTGATCAGAATACATTGCTAGCTGATCAGAATACATTGCTAGCTGATCAGAATACATTGCTAGCTGATCAGAATACATTGCTAGCTGATCAGAATACATTGCTAGCTGATCAGAATACATTGCTAGCTGATCAGAATACATTGCTAGCTGATCAGAATACATTGCTAGCTGATCAGAATACATTGCTAGCTGATCAGAATACATTGCTAGCTGATCAGAATACATTGCTAGCTGATCAGAATACATTGCTAGCTGATCAGAATACATTGCTAGCTGATCAGAATACATTGCTAGCTGATCAGAATACATTGCTAGCTGATCAAAATACATTGCTAGCTGATCACAATACAGGTGGACTCCCTTTAATTCGAACCTCAAATTGCCAGGCCCTAACTTCGAATTATCCAGAACTTCTAATTATCCAAATGCAGCCCCATGCACTGATATGTATGTCAAAATGCTTGAAATCGCATGCTGAATATTTTTTGCACATTTTTATTTGCATCAACGAAACATAGGTGGTCAAACCGGTCTTGTACAACGGATCATCAAAACACTGGATCGACACAAAATCATTTTGACATTATCTTCATCTTCTAGTGAAGAAGTAAGTTGTCAGTCACTGCAGCTTTCCTGAAACAATTTCAACGGAAAAGAACTGCGCTGCCTAATCCGCGTCATGAACTTTGAAGGCCGTCGAAAAGCAGCACGTCGTTCTGAAGAACGGAAGTGGAGCATAGGCATCGACAATATTTACGACAATAGTGTTGTTGTTCGCCAACATCCCCGCGCACGAGCTGGCGCGGCAAGAAAGGCCATCGAGATCCGCGAAGAGAGTCAGCCACCTGGAAGAAGTCGTCTTCAATCAAACCTTTGCAATTTGCCTAGCACGGGCTTGAATCAAATTTCGAGAGAAGGTGGGTTTCTTGAACGCTATAGTCGATCCTGCAGCGGACCATCAATCGATTTTTGAGCTACTCTTGGCTAGAGAAGAAGAAAAGAATGAACTTCGAATTACAAGGATAGCAACTCAATCTCACTTCGAAATAAGCGTTCAAAGGACATAGTCAATGTACTGTAAACAGCTCTTCTGTACGAAGACTGGGTTCGAATTATCCAACCGGCGCACTTTTCGTACTTCGAATTATGCATTCGATTTTGACTTGAAGTGACTTGCAGAAGATCGGTACGACGAAAAAGTTCGAATTACACGGAATGTTCGAATTAAACCGTATTCGAATTAGAGGGAGTCTACCTGTACATTGCTAGCTGATCAGAATACATTGCTAGCTGATCAGAATACATTGCTAGCTGATCACAATACATTGCTAGCTGATCACAATACATTGCTAGCTGATCACAATACATTGCTAGCTGATCACAATACATTGCTAGCTGATCACAATACATTGCTAGCTGATCACAATACATTGCTAGCTGATCACAATACATTGCTAGCTGATCAGAATACATTGCTAGCTGATCAGAATACATTGCTAGCTGATCAGAATACATTGCTAGCTGATCAGAATACATTGCTAGCTGATCAGAATACATTGCTAGCTGATCAGAATACATTGCTAGCTGATCAGAATACATTGCTAGCTGATCAGAATACATTGCTAGCTGATCAGAATACATTGCTAGCTGATCAGAATACATTGCTAGCTGATCAGAATACATTGCTAGCTGATCAGAATACATTGCTAGCTGATCAGAATACATTGCTAGCTGATCAGAATACATTGCTAGCTGATCAGAATACATTGCTAGCTGATCAGAATACATTGCTAGCTGATCAGAATACATTGCTAGCTGATCACAATACATTGCTAGCTGATCAGAATACATTGCTAGCTGATCAGAATACATTGCTAGCTGATCAGAATACATTGCTAGCTGATCAGAATACATTGCTAGCTGATCAGAATACATTGCTAGCTGATCAGAATACATTGCTAGCTGATCAGAATACATTGCTAGCTGATCAGAATACATTGCTAGCTGATCACAATACATTGCTAGCTGATCACAATACATTGCTAGCTGATCACAATACATTGCTAGCTGATCACAATACATTGCTAGCTGATCACAATACATTGCTAGCTGATCACAATACATTGCTAGCTGATCACAATACATTGCTAGCTGATCAGAATACATTGCTAGCTGATCAGAATACATTGCTAGCTGATCAGAATACATTGCTAGCTGATCAGAATACATTGCTAGCTGATCAGAATACATTGCTAGCTGATCAGAATACATTGCTAGCTGATCAGAATACATTGCTAGCTGATCAGAATACATTGCTAGCTGATCAGAATACATTGCTAGCTGATCAGAATACATTGCTAGCTGATCAGAATACATTGCTAGCTGATCAGAATACATTGCTAGCTGATCAGAATACATTGCTAGCTGATCAGAATACATTGCTAGCTGATCAGAATACATTGCTAGCTGATCAGAATACATTGCTAGCTGATCAGAATACATTGCTAGCTGATCAGAATACATTGCTAGCTGATCAGAATACATTGCTAGCTGATCACAATACATTGCTAGCTGATCACAATACATTGCTAGCTGATCACAATACATTGCTAGCTGATCACAATACATTGCTAGCTGATCACAATACATTGCTAGCTGATCGCAATACATTGCTAGCTGATCACAATACATTGCTAGCTGATCACAATACATTGCTAGCTGATCAGAATACATTGCTAGCTGATCAGAATACATTGCTAGCTGATCAGAATACATTGCTAGCTGATCAGAATACATTGCTAGCTGATCAGAATACATTGCTAGCTGATCAGAATACATTGCTAGCTGATCAGAATACATTGCTAGCTGATCAGAATACATTGCTAGCTGATCAGAATACATTGCTAGCTGATCAGAATACATTGCTAGCTGATCAGAATACATTGCTAGCTGATCAGAATACATTGCTAGCTGATCAGAATACATTGCTAGCTGATCAGAATACATTGCTAGCTGATCAGAATACATTGCTAGCTGATCACAATACATTGCTAGCTGATCAGAATACATTGCTAGCTGATCAGAATACATTGCTAGCTGATCAGAATACATTGCTAGCTGATCACAATACATTGCTAGCTGATCAGAATACATTGCTAGCTGATCAGAATACATTGCTAGCTGATCACAATACATTGCTAGCTGATCAGAATACATTGCTAGCTGATCAGAATACATTGCTAGCTGATCAGAATACATTGCTAGCTGATCAGAATACATTGCTAGCTGATCAGAATACATTGCTAGCTGATCAGAATACATTGCTAGCTGATCAGAATACATTGCTAGCTGATCAGAATACATTGCTAGCTGATCAGAATACATTGCTAGCTGATCAGAATACATTGCTAGCTGATCAGAATACATTGCTAGCTGATCAGAATACATTGCTAGCTGATCAGAATACATTGCTAGCTGATCAGAATACATTGCTAGCTGATCAGAATACATTGCTAGCTGATCAGAATACATTGCTAGCTGATCAGAATACATTGCTAGCTGATCAGAATACATTGCTAGCTGATCAGAATACATTGCTAGCTGATCAGAATACATTGCTAGCTGATCAGAATACATTGCTAGCTGATCAGAATACATTGCTAGCTGATCAGAATACATTGCTAGCTGATCAGAATACATTGCTAGCTGATCAGAATACATTGCTAGCTGATCAGAATACATTGCTAGCTGATCAGAATACATTGCTAGCTGATCAGAATACATTGCTAGCTGATCAGAATACATTGCTAGCTGATCAGAATACATTGCTAGCTGATCAGAATACATTGCTAGCTGATCAGAATACATTGCTAGCTGATCAGAATACATTGCTAGCTGATCACAATACATTGCTAGCTGTTCTACGCTATAGCCCTGTCTGGAACTCTGCGCGGGGGCCAAGCGGATTCTAACGCTAGCCCAACTGAGCGCAGGTCTGATAGTCTGTGATAATACTAATGGTACGGACCACAGGAGAACTACACAAAATTAATAGAATGACTCACCAATCAGTGTCACATTGTACTGATGTTCAGACCAGAGAGACCAATGCCAGCAGACGTATGTGGATGAAGTTGCGACCTGCTGCAGGGTGTGGCGTACAGCAGAGGATGCAGTAGACTGCTGTGTAGTGTAGTACATGTATGTGTAGCGGACTGCTGAGAGACGAGGTGAATTGCAGTGGTACGAGGTGCACTGTTGCTGCATGTGGCACACTGCGATGGTATGTAGCGGACTGCTGAAAAACGAGGTGAATTGCAGTGGTACGAAGTGCACTGTTGCTGCATGTGGCACACTGCGATGGTATGTAGCGGACTGCTGAGAGACGAGGTGAATTGCAGTGGTACGAGGTGCACTGTTGCTGCATGTGGCACACTGCGATGGTATGTAGCGGACTGCTGAAAAACGAGGTGAATTGCAGTGGTACGAAGTGCACTGTTGCTGCATGTGGCACACTGCGATGGTATGTAGCGGACTGCTGAGAGACGAGGTGAATTGCAGTGGTCCGAGGTGCACTGGTGCTGCATGTGGCACACTGCGATGGTATGTAGCGGACTGCTGCGAGACGAGGTGAATTGCAGTGGTACGAGGTGCACTGTTGCTGCATGTGGCACACTGCGATGGTATGTAGCGGACTGCTGCGAGACGAGGTGAATTGCAGTGGTACGAGGTGCACTGTTGCTGCATGTGGCACACTGCGATGGTATGTAGCGGACTGCTGCGAGACGAGGTGAATCGCAGTGGTACGAGGTGCACTGGTGCTGCATGTGGCACACTGCGATGGTATGTAGCGGACTGCTGCGAGACGAGGTGAATTGCAGTGGTACGAGGTGCACTGTTGCTGCATGTGGCACACTGCGATGGTATGTAGCGGACTGCTGCGAGACGAGGTGAATTGCAGTGGTACGAGGTGCACTGTTGCTGCATGTGGCACACTGCGATGGTATGTAGCGGACTGCTGAAAGACGAGGTGAATTGCAGTGGTACGAGGTGCACTGTTGCTGCATGTGGCACACTGCGATGGTATGTAGCGGACTGCTGCGAGACGAGGTGAATTGCAGTGGTACGAGGTGCACTGTTGCTGCATGTGGCACACTGCGATGGTATGTAGCGGACTGCTGAAAGACGAGGTGAATTGCAGTGGTACGAGGTGCACTGTTGCTGCATGTGGCACACTGCGATGGTATGTAGCGGACTGCTGCGAGACGAGGTGAATTGCAGTGGTACTAGGTGCACTGTTGCTGCATGTGGCACACTGCGATGGTATGTAGCGGACTGCTGAAAGACGAGGTGAATTGCAGTGGTACGAGGTGCACTGTTGCTGCATGTGGCACACTGCGATGGTATGTAGCGGACTGCTGAGAGACGAGGTGAATTGCAGTGGTACGAGGTGCACTGTTGCTGCATGTGGCACACTGCGATGGTATGTAGCGGCCTGCTGAGAGACGAGGTGAATTGCAGTGGTACGAGGTGCATGGTTGCTACATGTGGCACACTGCGATGGTATGTAGCGGACTGCTGAAAGACGAGGTGAATTGCAGTGGTACTAGGTGCACTGTTGCTGCATGTGGCACACTGCGATGGTATGTAGCGGACTGCTGAGAGACGAGGTGAATTGCAGTGGTCCGAGGTGCACTGTTGCTGCATGTGGCACACTGCGATTGTATGTAGCGGACTGCTGCGAGACGAGGTGAATTGCAGTGGTCCGAGGTGCACTGTTGCTGCATGTGGCACACTGCGATGGTATGTAGCGGACTGCTGAAAGACGAGGTGAATTGCAGTGGTACGAGGTGCACTGGTGCTGCATGTGGCACACTGCGATGGTATGTAGCGGACTGCTGAGAGACGAGGTGAATTGCAGTGGTACTAGGTGCACTGTTGCTGCATGTGGCACACTGCGATGGTATGTAGCGGACTGCTGAGAGACGAGGTGAATTGCAGTGGTCCGAGGTGCACTGTTGCTGCATGTGGCACACTGCGATTGCATGTAGCGGACTGCTGAGAGACGAGGTGAATTGCAGTGGTCCGAGGTGCACTGTTGCTGCATGTGGCACACTGCGATTGTATGTAGCGGACTGCTGAAAGACGAGCTGCACTCCAGCAGCACGAGGTAGACTGCTGCCATATGCGGTACACTGCCGGGAGACGAGTTTGACTGCAGCAGCATGAGGTAAACTGCTGACAAATCCGGAGAACTGGAGTGGGATGAGGTGAACTGCCTGGGGATAAGGTAGACTGCCTGGGGATGAGGTGGACTGCCTGGGGTTGAGGTTGACAACTTTGGGAAACGGCAGGCAGCCGAATAACATGGCAGGCTGCTGAGGGATGATGAGGTGGACTGATAATCGATGAGGTGTAAAGCTGAGGGATGAATCTAATTAGCAATGGACGAGATAGACTGCCAGGGCATGAGGTGAAGTGCCGAGGGATGAAGTAGACTGCTGAGATGTGATATGGACTGCCTGGGGATGAGGTAAAATGCCGGAGCTCGAGGTAGACTGTCGAGGTATGAGGCGAACTCCCTGGGGATGAGGTGAATTGCATAGGGATGATGTGAACAGATGAAAGATGAGGCAGACTGCCGAAGCATGAGGCGGAGTGCTGAGGGATGTGAACTGACGAAGGATGATGTGAAGAGACGAGGGGTGAGGTGGACTGCCTAGGGATGATGTGAACTGACGAGGGATGAGGTGGAGTGCTGAGGGATGAAATGGACTTGCCTTTGGAAAAGCTAAAGCCAGACTACTGCGGGATCATGTGGAGTGCTGAGACATGAAACGGACTGCTGCAGGATGAGGCAGACGGCTCAGGCATGAGGCGGACAGTCAATAGATGGGGCGGGCTGTCAAGAGATAAGATGTACTGCTGCAGGATGAGGCGGACTGCTCAGAAATGAGACGAACCGTGTCACGTTGTTGAATTCAGCTATTGGAAACCATTAGGAGATATACTCGAGGATGTCTGCCATTCTAAGGGATGGAGCAGTATTGTCCAGCGGTTGTCGAAATGGATCGGGCGAACATGGGTTTTTGCACAAGTATACTTTGTCCATACCGGTACTCATGACACCAGGTGAGTGAAGCAGGAGGTTAACGTCATTGTGGGTGATCTTGCACTCAACAAGGGAAATCACTTTCAAGCTTGTGTTAGACTTCTTCATCTCAACCAGTGCACGCACTGTGCCACGGCCGATGTCATTGCACGACATATCCAGCCAACCAATGCATGTGTGACTGCGGAGAGCTCTTAGAATACCTGCACCGACCTCATCACACATGCCCGTACCGGCAAATGAAATTACACGTAGGCGGTGAGCGTCCGAGAGAAGGTCGAGAAGCAGTTGGCAAACAGCATGGCTGGGATGTGGATCATGAAACACTGGGTTTCCAGCCAGACTCAGTGCATTGACTTGGGACCTTGGTATTGATAGTGCCTGCAGCAAGGCCGCAACACCAGCCAGCTGTATCCTATTGCCATCCACGTTGATACACTTGATGCTTGTGTTGCGAGCAAGGCCGGATGTAGCTAGCGTGATTGCTCCAGTATCCGTGATCCCACAGGCAGAGATGTCAAGTAGATCTAAGTCATTGTTGACTGTGAGGTAGTTGCCAAGCGGTATCATCATGGAGTCATCAACCATGTCATGGAATGCACCACCACCGCATGAACTGACCAGATCATCAAATGATCTCGTCTCTACTGAAGCACCAGTAGCATAGCGGCTGCCAATGTCGACTATGTCACCACCACATTGTCGAGATTCAGTCACTTTCTGCAGCAGACGAACTGTAACACCACAGCCAGTGAGATAAATAGCACATGTTGGTAGTGCTGGGAGATGGCTGGTTGCAGCACCACCAGTAGTGCCACTCGCATAATTCTCATACATGGATGTCCATAGCCTGCGTAGGACGTTGCCTGACATCTTGGCAGGTTCACGGTGGCGACGCGCTTGCAGAAAGTCAATAATACTTGCGATAACAGCATCATTAACTTTGTTGTTCTCAAAGTGAAGATGACGTATCATGTCATGGGAGCGCAGGCCGGACAGTACGCATGAAAACTCACTGTTGGATAGTGAGTTGTTATCAAGCCGTAATTGTTCAAGGTGAGGCAGCTTTGTGACCAGTGTTGTCAAGTCAGACCCACATCCATTGTACAGATCACAGTATGCCATTGACAGCACTGTAAGGTTTGTACATGGTATCAAGTAGGTCACAAATGCGGAGAGGCCGTCATTTCCAAGACAGGTGTTGCATGCGTTGAGCTGCACTAGACCTGAGTAGTTTACACATGTTGCAAGTGTCGCTCCAGCCACCGGTCTGCTCGTCAAAGCTGTATTGCTAACGTCAAGAACCTGGAGATGTGGCGTTGATTCAGACGATAGAAGACCACTTGAAATACATCTCAGTGGCGCCCCATCAAGATCATTGCGACCGATGTGCACCTCCACACACTTGCTCAGTTGGCTGGATAGCAAACACATGACATCACTGGGCAGGTTGCAGCGGCTGACGTTCAGCATCTTAACCAGGTCAATGAAATGCAGCGTGTTATGTATTGCCATTGCGTCAATGGCTTCAAGCGGGACACCTTCAACATCAATGCCATCCTCTGCCAGCAATTTGGAGGCCGATTCAAAGTAGGTACGTAACTTGGCATTGTACGAGGCCTGCTCAATGTAGACTTCCGATGAGAGTATGCCCCTCTCCAGTGACAGGCGACTTTCCTGAAGGCAATTCATCAAGAACAGCAGCATCATCTTGCTTACTTTGCCATTTGAAAATCTTGACGAACCCTGGATGGCATCTAGCATAGGACACAGCAACTCTGGTCTCAATGAACCAAATAGAAACTTCCAGAACACGCGTGTGTTCGTGCCAAGGCCAATAGTGCTGATACAGTGTTTGGCGTCCTCTACACAGCTGCTGGATGACACAATGGCACGTGTTGCACAATATTCCTGGATGGTCAAATGTGCCAGTGACACAAGGCACGAAGAATTCATGGTTGCATTAATATCACCACCAGCAGTCACTAATAATCCAAGGTTTTGATATACTCTTAGATGGTGGTTTGTGTGCGCTACTTTGAATGCTGCAGCACCAAGCTGGTATTGTTTGAGGCATAGTTCATACAGCGCTTTCAAAGCATTAACTAATTGTACTGCATGGTAATCACAGTCCACATCACCCACGTTGTCATCTACATCTCCTTCCAGTTGATGGCAGATCACAGTTTCAATGTCAACTAACTGTTCCTGTCCAAACTTCCGCATACCATGCAAATGACTAGTTACAGCACGAGTAAGTCGTACTTTGCCAAACTTCTTTCCACGCCGCAGTTCTAGCTTGTATACGGTCGAGTACAAAAACTGCTCAAGTAATGCAGCGATGCTCCCTGGAAATGAACAAGTGATGGCATATTGTTGAACGAGTAACACACACAGGAGCGGTGTCCTACGAATAGCTTCGTACATTGAATAATGGGTAGTTTGGCACAACTCTTCTATGCACCGGTAACCTTCCTCTTCACCCAAGTGTCGATAGACAAACTCGTTCAGCTGAGCTCGTGAGAAACCTACAAGTCGAAAACGCAATCTGAAGTTTGAGACGAGCCCATAAGATGTAGAACATGGCCGACTAGTTGCAAAGATGATAGCATCTGGTAGGAGTGATCTTTCTCTCCGTAGTACAGCGCGTGCTACTGATTTGTTCCCCAACCCATCACTGCCAAGTTCGTCGATGCCATCAATAACGATCAATACCTGATCGGAATGCTCTGACAGGTAATGGAGCAGTTCAGATTGCTCGTGTGCACTGATCCGCAAATGGTCCAGTCCCAGAAATACACCCCAATCTGCCGATTGTAAACGTTCCACATAACAACATGGCACGTAGAAAATGAATTTAATCTTTGCCAGATTCCCAGTTGTTGTCTCCATGATTTCGACGATGACTCGTTTGCAAAGTGTTGTCTTTCCCTGTCCAGCGTTGCCAATTACAAAGCAACTTTCCAGAACACCTGCGTCAATTGTGTCAACACCAACTCCACTTTTGCCTTTGTCAGTTACATCATCATGACAACGGAAATAAGACAAGACCTGCTTAGCGCTTGACAGAAGAAAAGAGCTTCCTTCCACTTTGCCATTCTTGTCTTGTCTAGCTCCTGGGATAGCAACGCCTGGTGTACGGTCAGATATTGGGTGTCTTCCAGTGACATTGAGAGTTGCAGGTTGTTGCGCACGATACGTCAGCTGCAGAGCATCTTTCTCCGTCAGAGCCTGCATGGACACGAAGCAATCCTTGACATTGCCGGACAAGCAAGTTGGATCTGAAAGATCAGCGGTCATCAAGCACAGATGTGTATTCACTCTGTCCAGATGTTGTTTAAGACATTGAATGTGCCCACCACCATTGTCTGCTACATCATCATTCATTGCCAGTGTCACATGATTACGTATCACTGCACCGTCGGTAGCTGTGTTGCTGAAGCTGCAAGTGGGCGAGTGCACTGGATGTGTGGCACAGCACATGAGATCTGAGTGATCCACGCTCGTTGCGCACGAGTGTATTTTCGTGGTGTGCAGATGTCTAACGTGATGCGGATTGCGTTCATCATCAATTACTGCTTCATCGTCCGGCATTGCCAGTGCATCGCATGTCACTGTGCCATTGGTAGCTCTGCTGTTGGCTGCAGCTGTATCAACATTGCCTCTGATTGTGACGTTGCTTGCACTGCTAGTAAAGGAATGCTCTGGAACTGTGGCAAAACATAAGAGAGGGAAACGGCCAAACCAACACTGTCAGGAAAATGACAGCCAGATGTAGGAAAGCAAGAATGACGGATCACACGAGAAAAAATTCAAGTTTGTACTTAATGCGAGAATTTCAAAGTATTAGGAAATAAGAGGCCCTCTATTTCGTAAGTTAGAGGCCGACCATAAATTTAAATTAAAAAAATCTGGATGTGGCTAAATTGGGGCTGACCCCCCCTTCCCCCCCCCCCCATTTCAGAGACTAAAATTCTTTTTTTCTTCAATTGGACTAATTTCTTGATCCGTTTTTTAACACACAGGGAAATAATTTGTTTGTATAGTAGCTGAGGTTATGTTGATATGTTCCGCGCAATCTGAGAATTTGCGCAATCTGCAGATCACGCCGTGCAATCTGAGAATTCCCAGAATGCACAAGCAATCTGCAGATTACACGGCAATCTGGAAATTTTCAGATTGCGCAGATAATAATTCTCAGGCTCTTCATATTCTTCAGCAAAATTCACAAATAGCGCCCCACACGGATTTGCTGTGCTCTTCACAATTTTCAACGAAATCCAGAGATTGCGTCCACAGATTGTGCTTCACATGAATTCACTGTGCGCTTCAAGTTTTCAACGAAATCCACAGATTGCGTCCGACATGGATTCGCTGTGCTCCTCATTTTTTTCAGGGAAGTCCACAGATTGTGCCCCACACGGATTCCCTGTGCTAAATCCACAGATTACGCCCACAGATTGCGCCCCACATGGATTCCCTGTGCTTCTCAGGTTTTCAACGAAATCTACAGATTGCAAAAACCATACGTGAAGTTTGAACGCGTGTGTTCCCAGAAGTCTCATAGTCCGTGAGCCAAATCTCAGAATCGGCTATTTTAGCATCGACCGTTGCACCCAGAGAGGGACAAATCGTCCTTCAGCCACTTGTTGGACAATTCGAAACTGATCCAGGGAGGTCACAGAAGACGCCAAACATCCAACTTTGCTCACTGACAGCAGCGGCCATTTTCGCCTTCTTCACTTGATTTTTTTGTGCTTGTTCACGGATTCTCATTTTTTGAAGCCATGAGCAGATTCCACGAGTGCACATAACGCGGAAACCAGTGCACAAAACTAGATTTGAATTTTTTTACCGCTGAGAATTATCAATCCGGACCATGCATGCAAACTGCAGCAAAGTTACAATGCATTCGTTCAGAACTAAACTGACTTCAAAGAATGTCCTAAATACCTCTCGAGATATTTGTTCACCACTTCCTAGGCGTAGAAGACTGTAGTGAGTAACCTTCTGGAGCGAATGGCGGACTCTGCCCCGAGCATGAACTTCTTTTCATCCTGTTCAAGGTCAAATATTACTCAGTTTGCGTTGAAGAATAACAATTACATTCGTGAATGGCTGAACTGAGAATACCCTAATGATTTCTCTTGGATTTCGTAACCCAAGTTCCTCTACTTGGCTGGATAAATCGCCTCTTGACTTCATCATACTGGAATTGGACTTGTAGATAATAGCGAGCAATGAATTGGTGAGTGAAGTACATTTATAATAACCACTCCATTACTGAATACATGTACGTAGAATACTCCAGTATAGAATGATATGAACACTGAAGCTAATGTGACATTACAGTAGTACAATAGGAAGTACGTCACCACTGTTGTAAATGCACGCGCTGATCCTATCCAACCTAACGGCCAATGCAAGAGGTTGGAATTGGCTATTGATTGCCTAACACACTCATACAGTACCAACAACTATCTGTCATTGCTCATTTTCCACTCAACATAGCACAGTTGGAAATCACCAGCTAGGTGCACATCTTGGCACATAATGTGTGCTTTCGCAGTCCACCGCAGAACATAGTAATCCACAGATAACTACCGATATAAGATGATGCCACATACATACATACATACACGCATACGCGCGCACCCACACCCACACGCGTGCGCATGCGCGCACACACACACACACACACATGAAGCAGCTGCCGAATCCGACTATGCAGTCTCCCAGACACGCGCGCACGGGCACACACACGAACCAGCTGCCGAATCCAACTATACAGTCTCTCAGGCATGCGTGCACATCCACACACGCGCGCGTGCGCACATACACATGAACCAGCTGCCGAATCCGATTATGCAGTCTCCCAGGCACGCGTGCACGCGCACACACACACACATGGACCAGCTGCCGAATCCGACTATGCAGTCTCCCAGGCACGCAACCCCAATGGCAATGGGAGAAGAACGGACTCCAGGAGGACGCCGGATCAGGAGGAGGACCCACCTCAGTGAGTGCAAAATGACCGATGCCCGTTGTCTGTTGTGGTCCTGCTGCCGTCAGTTGTAAATTGATCTCTCTTCACAAGACGGACAGCGACCGAACGAAGGAAAAGCAGATGTCCCTGGTGCCTGCCTGATCACCGAGGCAGAGTCCAGTAGCGGATGGGAGTGAAGGCAATCTAGGGATGCACATGTGGTCGGCCAAAGCTCCTCTGCTGCGAAACCAGCAACAACAGCATGTCCCGCGGCCGGAACACACTTCCTGTCTTGTCCTGTCCTGAACATTGCCGTTTCCGGTTACATGTCCCTTCGTGTGAGGGGCCGACAGACATGGAGAGTTTGGCTGAGGCGCTGCTCGCATCAACGTCCTAGCGAGATCTAGACTTTTCTTGAATCCATTTGTTGCAGTTGTGCAGCTGGAACCCTCGGGTTGACTTGCAACATGATCGCTTTGGCTGCAGTGAGCTAAAACCCACCACTGACCTGAAACACGGATCACACTGACCACAGTGATTGTGGCAACACCGTGCCCCGACACCCACCATCCGGCCCGCAGTTGTAGCCTGGGGTGGTGTCACCAACAAAGGAAAGCGCCTAGCACGCACACACATGCACCCGCGCGCGCACACACACATGCACGCGCGCGCGCACACACACACACATGTACGCACGAGCACACACATATGCACGCGCGCGTGCACACACAAACACGCGCGCGCACACACAGAAACGTGCACGCACACACGCATGCACACACTGGCACACATACACAGACAATGGTATAGTATGTTCCTCGTCAAGCAGCCAGGTGCTCTGGCTTGGACCTCCAGCAGCGCTGGTTTTGCCCTCGCTACTTGTCGTCTTGCCCTCTCCAGTGCTGCCTGCAACAAAACATTCCCTTCCGTAAACTCTGGGTGGACCAGTTCTCGGTGTTGTGTTGACACCGTGCTCTGCTTTCATGGCATTCGTTGTTCGTATCAGCCACTAAGCTCCTGGTAGGTAACCCCTTGTTGGCCTTAGGATGAGGCTCTGGGTTCACTACTACATGCACATCACTGTCAGTAAGTATAGATAAAGCAAAATCAGAGGCACTGGTCTTCTCCAGTGTTGCAAATGCTCAGGATCACATGCATGCAATTGGTGTAGCACTTTCCATGATACCAGCCACACCATTTGCTCTTCCCTGAGCCCTTGTGCTGGCAGAGAAAATCCCAGACATGGTCGTCCTTCTCTCGAACAGCGCTGACGATGCGACGCCAACTTGTAGTCTCGATATTACTCGCTGCAGGCTTCTCGTTTCTACTAAATTGGGTGCTGTCACACAGACATAAATTCCAGCAATATTACTCCGCTGGGCTGTCATTTGCCACTTCGTTGCCGTCAGCTGCCCCATCTGGCACCTCGCTGCCACTAGAAACGTCTTCCTCCTCTTCCATTGTTGTCAAACAACATCAATGTACACGAAAGGAATAAACTTCAATAAAGTGATCACAAAACCCCAAATCCATATTGTCGTCAACGTCGTTATCTTCTAAAAAATAAATTATTTTTCCTCACTCCACCCGAAATCGTACTTTTGTGCTTACTCGTCCGATGCACACCTCACTACTCGCGTAAAATATTTGTTCTAACGGTGGAATTTGGTCGAGAAAAGAAGCCCTCCCGAAGGTCTCTGGATCGGTTCTGGAACGTCCAACAAGCGAAAACGTATCCTTTGTGATGTCCTTGACCAACACTGTAAGCGGCGACTTGTCCCTCCGAGAGTGCAACGGCACTTGTGATTTTGAGTTTTGGCTCACGGACTATCACGGCAGCTCCAGCGCTCGGGAACGCGGATTTACCGTGCCTCGTCTCGTGCCACAAATTATATTCGTGTCACCCCAGAATGCACAAACAATCTGCAGATTGCGCTAATTCCCAGAATGTGCGGAACACATAAAGTTGGTTGTAAGGCACTACAAGGATTGTTGCTTACCGTCCGTAGTTCCTAGCTGGTCGTCCGTAGTGCCTAACTGGTCTTCGGGCAGTAGAATAATCATCTTCCGGTACATGTTGTCGTGTAGTGGAGACATTTCACGGATTGCATCGCAGAGTAGCCTGTAGGCAAGCTCGCCTCCAGGTTGGATAATGTTGATGATTTGAGAATTGTGAGGTTCATTTCCTTCGTACTTCTTTACGCGCTGCAGCTCCTGTAGTTGTGCTACATCAGTGAAGAAGCCCTTGCTCTGCACGGCACGTCGAAATTGGTCAGCATCCAATTTACCGATCCATAGTAGGATGTTGGATAAGAAATCCGGATGCTTGAATGGGTCCTCTGCACAGCCCAGGAAAACACACACAATAGCACAATCATGTGACCACAATACTCAGCAATAGCAAAATGGCAGAATGGCAAACTAGCACAGTAGCACAATGCCAGCGGGAACAGAAAGCAATGGTACAACCTCTCCTATCCGGGCACTTGGGGAACTGAAGGGTACCCACATCTCAGGCTTACCTATAACTGGGGAATACACTACAACAATAATGTAGATGGCACATTGTTCTCTTCTGTTGGGCTTATGAGGGACGTAGCCAACGAGGGACACAGGGGGGGGGTTATGAGGGACGTAGCCCACGAGGGACACAGGGGGGGGGGGGGCATTAGGGAGGTTTAGTTCCACGTAATCCGTGGGTACTTTACGTGTGTGTACCACGTGATACTCAGTGACCCACGTACAGACGTTTTCTGGTTCACGACATACCGTGCATGGAGGCTCACCCACGTTCCGCCAGAACGTGGGTGAAAATCAGAATGGAGCGCATTGTGCGAGCTGTGAGGGTGCTCAGCTGAAGAAGTTTCCGAAGCACGAAATCAAAATATTGGATGAGCTTCTTAGGCCCGGGTAGCTTCGTCTATGACCAGGTTTGGGCCTTTCGCTTCATGCTTTTGTTTGTTCCGTGTGACTAAACACAACAGTGCAACATGGGTGCCCTTCATCCACTTTACATGGATCACCCACGTACGCGTTTCCGTTACGTGGGAACTAAACCTCCCTATTATCCTCCTCCCCTCCCCTCCCCCGCAAACACACAGCCTGTGTTCACCGTGTGCATGAAAGCAGGTCCCTTCTTTCAATTTTTTGATTGGGACACAGTTGAAAAACATTGCCCAGGACCCAAGGTTAGAATACTGAAGTATGTTTACAGGTTCCCGGGCATACTGGGAACTGTCCTATGTGGGCCTAGTGTGTGTGTGTGTGTGTGTGTGTGTGTGTGTGTGTGTGTGTGTGTGTGTGTGTGTGTGTGTGTGTGTGTGTGTGTGTGTGTGTGTGTGTGTATGTGTGTGTGTGTGTGTGTAGTCTGGCCCCCTCCGGGGGTGACATTGCCCAATGGGCAGTCATGCTATAGTAGTAGTAGTAGTGGTTGTGTGTGTGTGTGTGTGTGTGTGTGTGTGTGTGTGTGTGTGTGTGTGTGTGTGTGTGTGTGTGTGTGTGTGTGTACTCTGGCCCCCTCCGGGGGTGACATTGCCCAATGGGCAGTCATGCTAAAGTAGTAGAAGTAGTGGTAGTGTGTGTGTGTGTGTGTGTGTGTGTGTGTGTGTGTGTGTGTGTGTGTGTGTGTGTGTGTCCCCTGGTGAGTAGAAAACACTTAGTGACGCGGTGTTAGACAAGGCAGTCTTCATCTTGCTGCCGCGGAGGAGGAAAAATTCAGCGTTGACGACATGGCCACTTCGGATGTGACCACTCGCGCTGACCCTCTTTCGCCTGGGTGTAGAGGTCTTGCAAACCCTCGCCCAGAGTCTTTTCACTCGCGTGCACCAGCGGCTCGAAAGGTTGTTCTGTCTCTGGGAACGTGGAACGTCAGGACTCTTGTCGACAACGTCAGTCGTCGGGTCCTGGTGCCGCTTCCCGGAGACAGCGCTAATCCAAGAGCTGCCCCGTATGGGGCCACTTAGCCAGTCATGGCAGTGGAGAAGAAGGAAGAAGGAAGGAAGGTGTGTGTGTGTGTGTGTGTGTGTGTGTGTGTGTGTGTGTATGACCGTGTCTGTGGCCTCATCCAGGCCCCAAAAAGGTAGTTTGTCTTCAAACATGTCGAGTCCTAATACTGGAGAGCTGATCCTGCAGAGACTAGTTTCACAGAATGTTGCCACTATCTAGCAGCTGGGCATGATTGGGACTGCAACAGCCCTGTGCAGGTGTGGTGCTTTGAGAAGAAACTGATGGTAGAAACATGGTGACAGGGTCAATCTGCCATATGGGACAAGAGATATGTTTTTCTCTTTCTGTTACACATACATGTATTCCATTTCAGTACTCTAGACAAGTCAAAGCGTCTTCCAGGCCAAACATGGCAAAGTGTGACGTAAACTCCCTTAGCAGGGGGGGCACATTCTACATTGGTGGGCCTATGAAGGGGGGGGGGGGGGAGCCGGGGTCCGGGGACCCTCCCGCGGGATTGTGGGCACGAAGAGCCCATTTCTTACATAACACGTGATCGTTGCCGGGGCCATGGCCAGTAGGCCATCTTCCCGCCGCGGGCATAATCAGGCCATCAGGACTGTTTGACGTCATTTTGGGAGTTTCAGGACCAATTGACGTCATTTAGGGAATAATTATTTGACCTTTCGACCTTTGACCTTCCCTAATCTATGCAGGCAGGCACAGTGGGTTGGTCTAAGACCATGATTGAGAAACGAGAGGTACCAGGTTCAAGTCCTGCTTGGAAGCGGAAGGATTTTTTCCAACCGTACTGCGACCCACAGTTAATTGGGAACTCGTGGCCTGGCATGAGTAATACATGGATGTGGCAAATGGGATCGAGGCCTTTGGCCTCTGGTTGGTGGATCTGATCTATCCTCCCCCACCGTTTAGGAGCCGCATCTGACGCCTGATCATGGGGTGGTGGCGTCCCACGGAAGCGGAAAGGTGGTTCTTGACCAGGGAGTTGTACGACTCCTTGTTCTTGACCTGCCCGGTACGCGAACCCCGTCGAATTTATTTATTTAATATGTTACTTCGCGCAGTAAGAAATCAAATCAAGCACGCTCTGTCTGTCATGGTGGCTGAATCTTGCCCTTGCCTGCAGCCCTATGGCCCGAGGGCTGCAGGCTCAGGCAAGATTCAGCCATCATGACCTCCTGAGCGTGCTTGATAACATGCATTTTATTTCTTCAAAAATCACAGGATCAAATCTTTGGTGCGGCATCGGCCGCAATGTTGCACCGGTTCCGATGCCCCATGTGTACCCGCTACCATAAACAAAGTATGACAGTACTATGCTATGGTATGCTATGCTATGGTATGGTATGCTATGCTATGGTATGGTATGCTATCACAGTGCTATGGTATGGTATGCTATCACAGTGCTATGGTATGGTATGCTATCACAGTGCTATGGTATGGTATGGTATGGGTGGACCAATTAAATACTGACTGCTTCAGGCTTCCGGCGGTCCTGCGCTTGATCATACTTCTGCCAAAGAATGACACGGTTGATGAATATGGTGGTAAAGACACACCTGGCAATATGGCGGTAAACACACGCCTGCCCACACACGCTCTCTAGGCTGCAAAGTTCTGGCACAGAGCTCTCCTTCTCACCACCACCACTATCAGTAGGGTGTTCGGTGCCTCGAACCCAGGCGCATTTTGAGTGGAAACAGTTTTGTACGGGGTCCGTGGCACAATCGTACATCACTGTGCTTCTTGCCTTGGCAAGGTAAAATTTTAGCAGCTCAGGACGAGTTTGTTTCTTTGTTGGAAAGAGGAGATGTCTCTGCTGTTGAGACCGTAAGTCCCGTTTCCACACGACGGATTTTAGCAATATTACGCCCTGCGCAACTTCAGGGTATCGATTTCGGCCTGTTTTGGGCCGGTCGCAACGCCGGCGACCATTCCATCGTCTTCAGCGTCAAAACACTACGCAGTGTGTGAAATTTGGAGGCTGTACGATGCTGTCTTCTTGTTCTATGAGCGATCGATTTGCGCCAGGATACCAAATGTATGGAGTACATGTACATGTACATGGAGTTGATGGACTTGGCTGTAGTGCTGTTTATTTGTAGTTTCGCTGAGCTACCACATCAGATAAACCTCTGGTCGCTGAATCTGGAGAGTGGAGAACTAGAAAGCCATTGTGCAGACAAATTGGTCAAGAACAGATTTCCTGCCAATACTGCGTTCAATATGCAGCTGAAAATCTGCACAGAATTGACGCTCTGAGGATTTGCAAAATTGCAGCGTGCTAACGCAGTGCAGCTACGCAATGCCGTATGCACCGTGTCTGGAGTACATTGTCATCCACATAGCATGGGCAATGTAGGGCCAGTGTATTTGTCGACTTTATAATTTAAATCCAAATTACGCTTGCACAATCATCCAATAAAATTAATGAACTGTCTGTTGATTGTGCAAATCGTATAAATGAATTACATGTGACGTGCGACACCGCCCCGAAGTGCTGCACGCGCCGTATATGACTGGGAACAAGTTAGTTGTCCTTCTAAAGCTGATGATTAGCAGGACTGCTGCTGCCTTGGCCTGGCTGAAGCTTACATCGTGTTGCAATGGTGCAGCATACCTGTTAATTGGCTGCATGCATCCGGTCCCGCGGCGCAACATGCCCGGGTGCCGTCTCGGCTGAGTGCGTATGTTATCTTCTTGGATGCTTCATCTACATGGGGTAGATAACTGTAATCTCCTCCTGGTGATGCGTCTTTGTAGTAACCGTATTCCAATTAGCTTCAGCATGTGAAGGGCTCTCCTTCTCACCACCACCACTATCAGTTCGCGCCTGGCGCCTAGTCAATGCATGGCTGGCGATATCCGACGTAGCATGCTGGTACATCAAGTAGCGCATGGCACATAGAAGATGACACAGCAACGACATAGCTTGATTGCGACGTACGTTTCGTCCCCGCTGGACTCATCAGGCAATCTTCTTCTTGGATGTCTTCATACGGAGCTTGACTCGGGAGAATAACTTTGAAGACACCACTGCAGCTGTACTTATGGTTGATAAATATGGTGGTAAAGACACACCTGGCAAGAAGGCAGAACTTTGCAGCCTAGAGAGCGTGTGGGGGCAGGCATGTGTTTACCGCCATATTGCCAGGTGTGTCTTTACCACCACATTTATCAACCATAAGTACAGCTGCAGTGGTGTCTTCAGAATCAAATTCAAAGAATGACACAATAAAAATATTCGGCAGTGGGTGAACCCATCACAGGTCGAGACAGAAGTTGCCCATTCTTGGTTATGTACTCTTGCTATTGATAAACATGACTACTGACCTGACTGTGACATTGTCAATCACTGCACCTACTGCAGGCACTGTTTGATGTGATGATCATCAATGTTTTGGTTGTGTGCCCACCAGGTTGTTGATATCTTCACAGCAGAAATCATGCAAGCACACAGATACAGACAGGCAGACAGACAGACAGACAGACACACACACACACACACACACACACACACACACACACACACACACACACACACACACACACATATATATATGTACTTCAAAGTAAGTCATTTCCCTAGGTGAATGTCCACAAGTGCCACACAGACATAGAACACCATTCTACGCACCTGCCTTACCAAACATAAAGATAAGGCATTCCTTCTTATCAAATGTCAATTTCTCAAATTACCGGGCTGTAGTTGATGGTATGGGGTGAACTACAATATCACCTCATAGCACTTTCATCTGGACAGGAGATCAGATACGGATCAGAAATAGGATTGTGCAGTCGTGGCGATTGTTGAGAGAGGAATGCTATGAACATCAAGCTGGGGTGCAGCTGATCATTTCGTGTCAGCGAACCAGGAGAGGTTTGTGTGTTGGTATGCTTAAAGTAAGAACGTACAGTGGACGGACGGAAGACCTCAATGATATCAAAGTCGTTGAGTTGTCCAGCAAACGTATGGCAACCCAAAAGGCTTTTAAAACCTCTCTGTAGACTATGATAGTAGTAGCACAGTTGGGTGCACAACGGCTACACAACTGCTGCAAAGCTCGAGTCCAGGAAGCCTATCAAGTCTGCGGATGCGCAGAGTTCGCAGTGAGAGAACTTCACACCCCTTTGGCCCCGGCTGTTTACCCCCATTTTTTTCAACCCCAGTCCACATATCGTTGGCGGAGCTGTCACCAATGGTAGCAAGTGACCCACTTATTCAAACCGTTCAGCCTGACGAAGTGTGCATGGGGGGGGGGGGGGGGACTTGTTGTCCAGCAGATGGAAATCCCTGGGTTGGAGATTCTCCCTAAGCTCATATTCTAACGACTGCATTCTCAGAAAAACAATAAAATGATACCATTCCTTGACCCCTGCAACTCCACCCTGCCAACTAGATCTTCCATTATACCTTACATACAGTGGCCCTCATTGTTACCCAAATAAATAATTGTTGTCCTTGAAAAAAAACATACAGTGGGCAATGCCAAATGAAATACAGCCTCCTGAAAAGACCAGCTCCCAGGATCTAGGACTGTCCAGCATATGCACTGCATGTATGAAGACAAGGCAGTAAGTGAGCTGTGCACTGAGCTTGGCCATTCTGTATGCACTTGGTCGAATTGCAACTTGCAGTTTACAAACACACACCGCAGGACTTCTACAGTAACGTAGATCTACCAGGGGCACAGCACCCGCTACGACTGGTACGACCATGGCCGATTGGCCGTACCACTTTTCGAAATATGGTCCGCCTGGAACGTGCAAAACCGTTACAAAAAAATCGGGACTCGTCAGATCGTTGTCTTTTGTTTGAGTTTGAATCATACCCGACTCGACACAGGTGCACTTGGTTCGTATCGACAACTTGTTTTCTGCACGTGAACCATAAAATTCTATGACTAACGATTACCGTATTTTCTCTAATAAGAGCCTGGAGTTCTTATTTTTTCAGTGACAGCTCTACCCGCGCTACTATTAGAGACTGGGCTATTATTGGAGACTGGGCTCTTATTTTTTTCAATTGTCAACCATCAAGCCAACTCCAGTCTATACAGGCATAAACTGACCATAACAAGACTGATGTTTCAACCCTAAACTCCGGAATATTGTCAAAACAGATGTTTCACAATAGCATTGGCGCCAGGAAGGAAGCAGTAGACTGAAAACCTTACAAAATATGTTCTTGGCATGTTGTACTGCTGTTTTATATGCAGTCAACATACTTGTTGCATACTCCAATTGTGACCCGCGCTACTATTAGAGACTGTGCTCTTATTTTTTCAAACCACCCTCACCCCGGGTCATTATTGGAGACTGGGCTATTATTGGAGAAAATACGGTAGTAAATATGTGCCAACAGTACCCACCCAGAACACAGGATTTGTTGTCGTTTTTACAAAATTTCCCAGGAGAGGCCCCCCCCCCATTCACAGCCCGCTGGAGCGCTCCCTCCTTTGGTCGTACCAGTTCACAAGCCCCTCCCACGATGTACCGTATTTGCTGGTGTATAGTGCTCACCCTGAGCAGTGAATTTTGAAGCTCAAATCTGCAGTGCGCACTATACACCGAATACGAGAATCTAGTACAAAAGTGCCAGAGTTCAAGAGTTCAAGTGCGCACTATACACGTAATGCACTGTATCGTACGGAGCGAGTGCTCAGGTTCATCGACGTTCGAGAACATCCACGGAAAAACAATGTTGTTTTCATGTTCACAGTTCGTAGTTCCATCATTTTCATAGTCATAGTCTGACTTACCGGAAAATATTCTTTAAAAGTTTCACCATCCTTTGACGAGATCAATTTCAGAACCAAATACCCCCGATTTGACTGCGCGTTATACACCGAATAGAGCCATTTTGTGTGAATTTGTGGTTGAAGATTGGGGGTGCGCATTATACAAAGGTGCGCGTTATACTCCGGCAAATACGGTAGTAAAATCCACTCATGCACAGCTGGGCTTGACCAGGCTAATCGCAGCTCACCCGCTGGCGATCGCGAGGTATGGTTCTAAATCTCAGGACCTCCAATCTCATTTGAATCTTCGTCATGGCTACACACAGACAGTGAGAATTCTAGGTTTTTTCTGCTCCCAAAACATGGGGACCACGAACGATTTCGATACTTGGCTCACAGACCAGGTTCGATCTACCAAACTCTTGTTCTCGATCGGAAACAGCATTCATAAGTATCTAATATTGACTGAGTACGAGGTCAATATAGGAAATAAAAGCCGAGTAAAAGACCGAGGCGAAGCCGAGGTCTTTTACGAGGTTTTTATTTCCTATACTGACCAAGTACGAAGTCAATATTAGATTTATCACGACAAACAGTCCGTATTTCAAATTCCAGAACGATAACCTCATGAATCCCGGTTTTATGATTGCACAACCGTTGCACCACCACCTACTCATGCAGTGACAATGCTTCACTAGGCACCGTTCAACTGCGCAACCCCTAAGCAGTCAAATATAAGCAGTCAATATAGCCCTAAGGAGTGAAATATGCAGGAATATTTGGCTGTATGGCAAAAATCTATGTGAGTCAATACTAAGGGAGTGATAATTATTATTATTAGCAGCACTAGCACTAGCACTTCACCGCTCGTGGAGTCAAATCAGCGTGTTCACATAGCGATAGAACGTTTTCTCACAAAGGAAGGAGAGTAGGGGCCCATTTGAACGAGACAGCTCAGCAACTCACCGCCAATTTAGGACGTGATGGCCATTGTACCGGCGAGCCCGCCGTTCGGAAGGCACGCGGACGATTGGTGCCAGCAAGCCAGGTGATGACGAGGATGATTCGGTACTGCGCGTGACTCTTCACTTGCGGCGTTTTTCCCAGTTCTCGACTAGAACCGTGATGTACACTGTGGTACAGCAGGAGAGACGGAAAACTGGACATTCACAGCGGCCGGTTCTTTAGAAGTCACCCAGTATCAGTGACCACGCACAATGATTCAGGTTGGTGTATTCGCCACTCCAGCAGTCTGCCACCGCAACCCTTGCCCTCGTCGGATAATAACGCAGTAGATGATCTACATGTAAATCACTGAATACTGTACAAGAGGATTTATCAACTGTACTACTGCCAGTACTGGGGTTGCTCCTACTCGTTATAACGTTATCATGGTTAGTCGACAGCACACAGCTCGAGATTTCGGTCTGGAAATACCTAACTATTACTTCTTGGCGTGGAATACTGGCTGGTTCACTCCAGTCTCCAGTCCACAAGGTCCACATGGTCCAGCCCAGCACCAACTCGGCTATCATCAAGACAAACACACATCGCGCATGCGCGGCAGACCAAGCCAGGGTAGGGCATGCGGCCGTCCCGGTCACGTCGACGGGCGGTCAGCGTTACCATGGCTACTGGCGTTAGGACTGCATGCATGTGCAACAATGCATGGTGGTCGGATCGCGTCCGCTGTATCGCGCGTGCGCGTGCTCTTCACTTCAGCATGTACAGTCATGTTGCTTTGGTGTACACATGTGTCAGTACATGGGGCCCGGGGGGGGGGGGGGGGGGGGGGGGGGCGTAGGGTCCGGCGGATTCTGCCGGCAGAAAAATTGGCAGAATTCGGTACTTTTTCTGGTAAGTTTCATGCATGTTTGGTATGTGGATAAAAAAATGGAGCAAAATTCGAGGAATTGCCCGCCATAAGGTTTGTATGGTTCTGCCAATTTCACTGCTTTTCGAGCAGAATCTGCCACCTTTTCGAGCAGAATCCGCCGGTCCCTAGGGGGGAGGGGGTCAAATATGCACACAAAAGTGACAAAACTAAATCCAGGTCCCCGGTTCTGCCCCCCCCCCCCTGTAATAGTCCCTACTGCAGTCAAGCCTAAACTAAAGGGTTAGGACTTAGGTACTGGCCTTAAAGCGCCTTAGGGATCCCTGTAAGTAAGTAAAGTAAATTATCGTATCCGTTCCCGAAGGGAACTCACGACGGCCGCTAACACCCGATAAACCCTAGCGGCAGATGCAGCGCCTAACGGTGGGGGTGAGTGGGTAAGTCTCACAACCACTGGCACAAGTGCCGAAAGCGACCCCATTAGCTGCATCCATGTACCCCTTGTGCCTGGCCACAAGTTCCCAGTTGACTGTGGGTAGCAGCACGGCTGGAAAAACCGCTCCCAGGCAGGACTTGAACCAGGTACCTCTCGTATCTCAATCATGGTCTTTGACCAACCCACTGTGCCTGCCTGGTAGGGATCCCTGTAGCCTACCAATATTTTGTTGTGGGACCAGTAGTCCAGTTATGCGTGTGTCACGTGACCATCGTGATCGCAATGCACATCACTGTCATCATGGTCATCAGACGCCAGTGCGGAAGTGCAGTGCGACTCCCGGGACATATAATGCAGGGGGGTTGCAGGCAGAAACATTGGCAGAATGTGGTATTTGTTTCTCATTGGAAACGGAATGTTTCATGACTTATTTCTCAGGTTTCCCAGACCAGGCTTCACTGCAGCCAATTCATACCGATCTACATATACATGTACATCTATCTGTATATCTGCCTGTATGTTAGTATGTGTGTCTGTCTGTCTCTCTGTCTGTTAGTATGTCTATCTATATGTCTACTAGTATCTGTCTTCAGCCAATCTATGCCAATCTGCATGTCTGTCTGTCTGTCTGCCTCAGATCATCAGGGGAACCACGTCGATCCAGACACAATTGGCAATGGCCCAGGACAATGCCCGTGTCAGAGGCACTGAATGCAATTAACACATAATCCAATCCGGGGACGTTCACCGCATCACACCAAGAGCACATAACCCCCGCCCCGGGGCATAACCCCCAGCCCGGGGGCGGGGGGTCATGTACTCTTGATCACACGAACTAGTAACATACCAGTATGGACATGTACACCAAAATTGTTTTAAAACCATGCAAATTGCCGGAAGAAAGTACCTATAGTGGCGGCTTTCTCTGGATACTAATCGCTCACATCGGGTGTTAGCGGCCGTCGTGAGTTCCCTTCGGGAACGGATACGATAATTTACTTTTACTTTTTTTTAATCGCTCACAATACTTACACAAGTTACAGGTATTGGCATACAAAGCGAGAAAATAAACGATGACGGAAAGATGTTGCTGAAGCCCTGAATCCAACCCAGGCCACAGCCTGGGTCGGCTAGGAGAATGGTAGCCATGATATAAATCAAAGTACTTTGAAGTAACTGAATAGACAGATTCGGACAAATGAGGGCCTAGGGTTCAACTGCCATGCATGGGCATAATCATTGGGGTAAGACGCGGCAATGCATGCGACAGATGATCGAGCACGGCCGGGCTCAAGCAAAGCAAGCGGCGCTGACTAGGAGTAATACTATCCATCTCTTATCTATGCTGTGCGGTCACATGCTGCAAAACCTAGAATCTCTGCAAGCCTGCATACATGCTGCTGGATGTACATGTAAAACTTACTTTTAAAAAACCTAGAATCAATTCTTACTGGTAATTTACCCATGGCCTTTACAGACTAAACACACCACAAGAAGTATTAGTAACGTTAGTACAATGTACAATGTAGTACCGTTAGTACAATGTACAATGTAGTAACAGTCTTCTTAGCAGAGCTCAGCATACACAGTATCATGACCAGAGATCAGGGAATGCATGTTCATGTCAATGATCCTCTCATTACCCTGCCTGGGTGCTTAGGGCATGACGTCAGCAGTGACATCATAGTGAAATGCAATGATGTCATACAGGTAAAAAAGATAATGATCACAGTGAAGGAGTACCATCATGATGATCAGCTGGGAAGTAGACGGCTGGAAGGTGGATTACACTTGAGCCGACTCGATGGTGTCGACCATGACCACTGGTTTCTTGTTGCTCGGGCGTACATCATCCAGCTCAACAGGCTTGCTTTCATGGGCACCGGTTGCCGAGAATCCCTCATCATCATCATCGTGTACGTCGGTGCTATCATCATCGCTCTCACGCTGCACCAGGCTGTGTGTCCTAGACGTGCAGGCACTCCACAGGGACATGAGCGAGAGGCAGAAGTACGGGCCCAGCAAGTAGCACGACCACCAGAAGCAGAAGTCGTACTCGTTAAAATCTCTCCACGTACCGGCCGTTATCCAGTTGTGTGCCGTGACCAGTGCACCAGCTATCAGGAAACCTGTTCACACACACATACATGCACACACACACACACACACACACACACACACACACACACACACACACACACACACAAACACACACACACACACACACACACACACATACACACACACAAACACACACATGCATACACACATGGACGTACACATACACACACACAGTGACACACACGTGCACGGACACAAGAAGGGGATAGATCTGCTCAAAACGTAATACTGACGGATAAGACTAGCACATCGCATGCTTAAAGGGAAAGTTAAGGAAAAAATTAAAATTTCACCAGTTGTAGTCTTCGAGGTGCTGAGTCGAATGGTCTTGGTCCGAGGAAGCTGAGACGCTCCCTTCCTACTTGAATCCCAATCGAACTCGCGCACTTCCACCGAAACTGGGTGACTGCGCCCTACGAGATGGGGATTTGTATGCAAAATGTCACTAAAAGCGCCATTTCGTTATTATAAAAGCACGGATGACCGCGATTGGCCCATATGTTGTAGTCTTTTGGACGCTGAGTCGACTGGTTTTGGTCCGAAAAGGCTGCGATGCAGCGTTCCGCCTTTATTCCGAATCGAACATGGTTAAACAAGCGGTCACGTGCTCCTGCGTACACCAGTCACCTGGTCACCGTGCCTGCAGGGTACAACTTACTAGCCTGTTTGACCTTTTTTGGGTGCAGTCCTGTCACTCGAGTTGAACTCGAGTTGAACCTTGGTGTGAAAGTTGTCACCTGCTGGCGTGGTGACCAGGTGATTTGGGCACCCAGGAGCACGTGACCACTTGTTCAACCATGTTCGATTGGGAATAAAGGAGGAACGCTGCATCGCAGCCTTTTCGGACCAAAACCAGTCGACTCAGCGTCCAAAAGACTACAACATATGGGCCAATCGCGGTCATCCGTGCTTTTATAAGAACGAAATGGCGCTTTTAGTGACATTTTGCATACAAATCCCCATCTAGTAGGGCGCAGTCACCCAGTTTCGGTGGAAGTGCGCGAGTTCGATTGGGATTCAAGTAGGAAGGGATCGTCTCAGCTTCCTCGGACCAAGACCATTCGACTCAGCACCCCGAAGACTACAACTGGTGAAATTTTAATTTTTGCCTTACCTTCCCCTTTAAAGTACACATTTCTGCTGACGGTGGCAGTACGTCTTATCAGGGTTCTACAGTACACAGCAACACTGGTCCTTCCTCTTTGTAATGAGATTGGTTAGTACATCTTAACAGTTACTCGGATACTGAGCCAGGAATAAATGTAAAAAGAGAAGGAAACACATGAGAACGAACTATGCAGCAACTATCCACGACTGTAACAAGATGATAAACAGTCAGAAAGTGCGATGTTAGGGCACAAAACTGACAGGCTACTAAGACATTCAGCGACCGGAGACCTAGCTCTAACACATGTCCAGTGCGCAAACCAACATTCAGCTTTCCAACTTGGAAGGTTCATGGTTATGTAGGACCGAAGTGTCATGCATGAGGAGTAGTGTTAGATATTTGTGCGGTTTGGTACAATTCATTTTCATTTATGCTTAGTACACCAATCTAAATAATACAGTAGAAATCTGAAATCCCCTGATAAAACGTGGTCTACAGATTCGGTTACAACATGATTTATTAGTACACTACAACAGTGGATTGCATTTTCACCCATTGTGTTTCCTTTGCCCGTAAAAGAGGCTTCATCCCATGTGAACAACTTGGCCAGTCCGTTGAAACTATGGGTTTTATGCTTGTATCAGTGCAAGCATCTGGCGACATAAAAATGTATATCACACTCACATTGGGCAAGTTGCATCAGGAACACGATCATCATCACGATGCGCTTGCGGTGCACCTTGCACGCCACCGCCACCAGGATGCTGTTGATAAAGTTGAGAATCACGCTCATGATCAGGCAGCCTCGCGTCTGCCGCACATGCCCTGCAGTGAGTAAGAAGACAACAATCATGACGATTACCAAGCCAGCGGAGTGAGTCCTGACAAGGATACATAGTAAAACTCTGCAGGCCGACTAATACTGAGCCACTGGAGAGGTGTTATCTTATCCACCGTTAAAATCGTCAATGAATGCATGCACAAAAATCATGAACACCAGTTTCCTCTGGTGTATGCATGTGCCCCGGCTCACGAGCGCTCTCCCCCCCCCCCCCCTCTCTCTCTCTCTCTCTCTCCCAGTGTCTCAATAAGAAATGATCAGGTCTGAGGAAGACTGTTGCAGTGTTCGACAATTTTCAGCCAAGTTGTACAGCATACATCTTCTAGCTGGATCCCTGCTGGTATGTCATTGTGTGCTAAAATAAGCTACTGCCCAATATGGCTGCCTGTCAGTCTGTCCGTCTGTCTGCTTGTCTTTCTGTCTATCTGTCTGCTTGTCTGATTCTGCAAAAGCTTGATAGTCCACACAATGGTTTGGTTTTATGATCCATTTGCCTGCTTGTGTGTCCGTGTATCTGTCTGGTTTTCTCACTCCTGATGAAGATGTCTAGTTGACCAGTTAGTACAGGAGTGCAAAGTGCAAAGCTTGTTTTGGGTCGGTTTAAAAATGCTTTTCCGTCCATTAGACTTCATTGCGACCAGTTGGGACAGTAACTCTGACCTCCGCTGACCAGATCTAAACAAGATCGAAACAGCAAAGCTGTCCAGAGGTTGAATAGTTCGTGCACTGAAGTAGATTATACAGCTGTACAGGTACTACGCTAGCGCTATAGTTCGTGCTCTACATGTATAATAATAATACTCTAGAGATTGTACTGCTGCTGTCCATGGACATGAACCAGTCATGTACTTGAGCCACCACACACGGCACTAGCGAATCCAGCTCCAAGCAATATTCCATGTCTGTCGCCTAAGCTGTTTTGTCTATTGCTACCATTTGTGTTCAACCTACACGATACAGGGTCGTCTTACTCTCTCTTGTTCCCTTGCAGTTGGATATCTCCTCGCGTCCAACATCGCTTTCCGTTGTACAACACATCGCGCGCAGTGTTGGACCCTAGGGATTCGTTGTTGGGTATATTATTGTGTGGCCTTGTAGGGTATAGCCTTGTAGTTGTAGGGCAAATACATGACATTGTACTGCGGCATGCGGACGTGCACAATTTTAGCGTGTGGCAGCACCGCACGGTACCTCCTGTCTAGGTAAAGCGTGGGAATACGAAACATCACACGCATTTCCAGCATACCCAGCATATTCTAGTTCCCAGCGCGTGGAACTCCAGCAGGTACACTTGGATTCATACAACAAAAGTGAAAGTTGTGAAGGGACACGTTAGGCGAATACAACTCACAGTTTTCCACGTGAGGGACATATCCTATGAGATGCTGGTTGTTGCCTTCTTGCCCGTAATAGAAGCACGATTTGGTGCGCGACTCGAGCAGAAACAGCGGTGCATCGTCCTCGTAGAGCTGGCACATTCGCCACAATCCGCCATTGAGCTGGTAAATCCGCAGAACACTGTCCCTGGCCACGACATGATCATAGTCTAATTTCCACCAGTTGGGCAGCACGATGCAGGCAATGTGCACCGAAGCTGTACCAGCAATGCATAGCAAGATGATGATTCGGAGGATGTTACCGAAGCCCACACGGCTCAACAGGCCTGCTGGCTTCTCATCTCGTCTTTTGGCCATTCTGACCAGCTTGAACCCGGGGTCGAAAACTTTGACCTCTGTGGCGCTGCACTCACTCGCCTCCACTACTTCCAGTTGAGCCTGGTCGTGTTCTTGTCCAAACACACCATCAACACTACAGCCGTGAGACTTCCCTTGCTCCCTGCCTGATAATTATAATACTGACAGCAGATACGAAGGCTTTGAAAGCGAAAGAGAAAGAGATGTCATTCCTGTGCTTCACCCAGACCCATTGCCCTCGAAATGTACACATGGCGTATGTGGCCAGTCACATTGTGAGCTGCGTCGTTAGTGAGCACCGCTCGGGTGATGGGCTCCCGCTGCTCAACCGTGTCCCCTACGGAGTGACTGACTGCACCATGACCGTGTAACACGCGTACGCACGCACGCACACGCACACGCACACACACACACACACACACACACACACACACATACACACAAGCGCGCACACACACACACGATAGCATATTGACCGCGATATATAGCGCTCACCGGCCATGACATTACTGCCAGTGCAAAAGCACACACACACGTACATACACGCACGAGAGCGGAGATCTTGAGAGCCGTCGGTTCTCGACCTGAGTCAGTCAAGCAATCACCGGTGCGCTTCTTTCTACATCATCGACATCCCTAACGGATAGCGTGTTCAGGCCATGCTGCACAATCATGCAATCATGGCTGCAGACTGTAGAATGTACTAGTAGACCATAATTAGCATTGGAACATGGACCATGGTGAACTGAAGGAACACTGATAGTGATACTATGCCATGGACTGCAGCATGATAGCAGTGCAGGTGGAATGGATGGGCTGGCCGGGCCACACCGAGGGGATGAGTCGAATAGGTCCCACCGGAATCACGGCCTAACCAACTACATCGTCCTCACGGGAATTAGCACTACAAGGCTATACAGTGTATTGTACTTCAAGTGTTATGGTATACACTGCTTGTCTTGGGAACAAGGCACCAGGCTAGCTTGCTGCGACTCTGCGTTTCGTGCTATGCAATCATCAGGCGACACGATGCTACACACTGTTTACTTCTTGTGTGCATGAACACTACAGTACTACTACTACTCAATATTCAATGGACAATAGGACACCGGATGATGGCGTTGATGGTGCAAAGACTGCTGTGCTCGGATCTAGACGTGGGCACGCAGTAGATCTACCAGTGCCGGTATACAACATGGAGCACACTCGCTGCACTGTAGACTTAGTCTTTGCGCGCTCTCGACCTTGGCTTGAAAGTCTGCATCACAACATGCGAACGGGTATGAAGTAGAACGACGCCATGCAGTGTGTACGTGTGTGTGTGTGTGCGCGCGCGCGCGCGCGTGTGTGTGCGTGTGTGTACTGAAGTAGTAGTGTGTGTGTGTGTGTATGTGTGTGTGTATGTGTGTGTATGTGTATGTGTGTGTTTTAAGCTCACTGAGGTTCACCTTTTGCTGTATAATTATGACGTACATTCTATTGAATGGCGCTGTCTGATGTGATGGCTCCAGTCCAATGCGTGCTCCTAAGACCCTGTATTAGCATTACTGTTGGCAAGAGTGCATCACCAGTTCTGCACTCTTGCCAGCTAATGGTCCACAACGGCCCTGTGCCTGGATACCCGCGCCGCACCTGCAGCACTGCAGCCCATTTCCCGCGTGTCGTTCACGGCTCGCCGTCCAGACCCATTCCGAGGTAAGCAAGCATGGAGACGGCCAGAGACAGCCTGGTATTGTACAACAATCATGTCCCTTCTGACTTCTTGACTTTAGCCTTTAGGCTTAGCCCTGCACTGCAGACCAGGCCTGGCCCAGGCTAGCAGAAGTCACACCGCACGCAGGTGGGCATGTGTGAATGTACTGTTCAGGCCTCAACTTCGGCGCTCAAGGTCTGAGGTGTCACTTGACCAAGTTGACGTGTTAGAGCTGCATGTCGTTTATGGATATGAATGTTTATGTTTACCTGAGTGGAGCCTGTATGATAAGGCTGAAGAGTGGATTAGCTCACCGGTAGATCTACATGTCGTAGCAGAGTAAGACCCATGCTGGATTTATGCCACACGGCACACCTCCGCTATGCCTAGCACACACACAACCACACACACACACGCGCGCGCCAGCGCGCACCCAGCCAGCACACGTGACCGGGACTAGGGAGGATATGTGAGTGTGCGCGTGATGTTGTTCATTGTGCTCTTGTTTTGCTTTCACTTTCGGTTGACGGGAAGTTTACTCGTATGTGCATGACTGTATAGTACTAGTATCCACACAGCAATGCCACCACCAAGTCCTTTTCTGGACTTGGTGGAACTGGTGTCATTGCTGTGTAAGTATTGTATTACTGGATCTGTCCACCGGACATAGAGCACTATGCAGCCTGAGGATCTTAGACAAGTGTCCACATGACTGTTTGTGTATGTACAGGTATACAAGACTGAAGGTACATACATCTCAGCGCTAGCTGAGCCCATCGTTATTCTCTTCGATCATCCTATCCCGTGGCTCATGTATTGAAGGTGGCTGTTGGTCGTGGCTCGTGAGCATTACATGGTTCACCGTGAATCACTGTTCTACCAGGGAGTCGTGAAATACTTTAAGACTCCCTGTGTTCTACCAATCACAAGCTGCAAAACATGTACATTTATCATGGCCTGTGTGATGCCGTACAAAGCCTTGAACATAAGCTCTGCGACTCTGATACGACCGCCAATCTACCGCCTGTACTTAGCTGTAAATAGTTGCGGATAAGACTGGGCGCCGGCGGTGCGAGTCGGCAAGGAGCAGATATAAATACGCGTGTGTTACGTATGTCTATAGCACGCAGTGTGTGATCATGTGATTGGGATAAGCTCATGACTATCAGGCAAATGTACCGATAGGATTGTGCGTCCAGACGTGATCCAGTGCAGGCATCAGCTGCACCTGGGCTTGCAGATATGAAGGGGCGTGGGTAATCTTCCAACACACATCGCATACCACAGTACAGTACAGTGGGATCATGATCACTGCCTAGCTGGCTAAACAGGGTGACGACGGCGGCGTGCGTGCGTGCGTGCGTGTGTGTGTGTGTGTGTGTGTGTTAGGAGGGGAGGGGAGGGCATGGTAGAGACTGCTGAGATATCATTCTTTCACCTTTCGACAGACAAGGACATACTCCATTGAACTCGTACACACAAACAGGCACCGAGACTCCCCAATCAGCAGAACCCAGCTCACCCTCTACTACTCACTCCCTATCGACATCACATCACAACATTGTAGAAATTCTTTCCGACACAATCCATCCAGTCTGCTTTTGAGCAGTACCAGTTCCTGCTCCGCTCACCTCACCTCCTGATTTCTGATATCTTGAACCAAGAGTACATAAACTGTTTATGGACTCTTGCTTGAACGTGTCTTGATCACCCCTGCTATTGACCCCATTTGTTTTTTATGATCCATTGTTTATTGCCTCCCCGGGAATTTCCATCTAGCTGTTTATGGCTAGTATCAGTTCCATCACACTTATCATTCTTCCTTACTGGCATCACGCCATCGTGGAGCAACAGAATAATAATCTTCGGAAATAGAGACGTCGCTCAGTATGCACATACATGCATATATCCCTGTATCTCTGTGGCAGGGCACGCAAATAACGCAATCGACCACCATTGGCGAAGAGAGGTTGTTGTTGTATTCTTTTATTTCAATTCACTCAGGTTAGAGAAGTCTAACGTTAGAAAATGGAGGTATTGCTTCAGGACGACGACTATCCACGACATGCTATCCCAAGCGCCTAACAACAATGCCAGCACCTCAAGGAAACCAAATCTACCAGACATTCAACAATCGCGCATAATAATAATAATAATAATAATAGTTACAGCTCGCATGTCACTCATGGAAGGATCCATGGGCTTAACGCATCTGTCAACGAAATCCAGGCAGAAGAGCCGACAAAAGGCATCTCATTATTGTAAGAACGTATCGCAGTAAGAACAACTACGCAAGCGCAGCACATTTTTCCACACGCATCAGCCATTCTTTCTTGTCTAGAGCCAGTTCAAAACAGTCAGAAATATCAATATTGGCGTGCTTTAGATCATTTTTAATATTGTCAATCCATGTGAGATGGGGTCGGCCACGTGGTACGGGTAATCGCGCATATCCACAATCTAATTGCTCTTTGTTAATGATCGTTTGGCTCATGATGGTAGTCGCTCGGTCAGGTCATTTGGCGCGGATATGTGCATTGTTTTCCAGCCTTGTCCATCATGGAAGGTTATGCTCATGCCGTCGAAGCTATCCTGTCTGGAGTCAGAGTGCGTGATGGTCTACAGACGACAGAGAGGACAAGGACGGTTCGTTTGATTAATGTCGTCCGAATGTCAGTTTTTTTGAAGATGCCATCTACATTCAATGTTTTTTTTCCCATTCGGCTGAGGAGTGTGTTGGAGGGAGGGAGGATGGGGGGGGGGGGAGGGGTGGAACGCTTAGGCCTTTGAGGAACATTGCAGAGAATCGGACTGAAAAGGTGCTGAGTGTTCAACCGGGTAAGGGTATGTGATCGATCGTCGGCAGGAGCCCTCAATCCAGTTGTCTCAAATTGGAAACACGAATGAAGTTCCCTTGGCAACCACTCGACGCGGAGACAACAATTTTAAAATAGCAATAAAGAGAACAAAATGCTGGTGTCACGTGAGACTTTCCACTGATGAATGTGACATGAAAATCGATTTTGGAAACTTTCATGACTTCGTTGTTGTGTGGCGATGACAGCAGAATTTGTTCTCTTTATTGCTACATTTCGAAGTTCCGTTGACATAAAGGTTTGACATTCCCGACCACAAGCACGGTCAACGCGACGGGAGAGTGCTCTATTCTCCCTCGAACCACGGGACACGAGAAGTCCCAGTTTTACTGTAGCACTGGCGGGCATGACAGATTGCACGAAGCTGCCATCGCTTGTCATCTTGAAGAGGAAGACCCGCCTCTGACAATTTGTCAGGTTCCGGCAGGAGTTGTTCTCAGAGTTCAACTCAACCAGCGCAATACTAGCGTTGGCCTTCATTCCTTGAGGACTCACCAGCAACTGTCAGCCCCTCGAGGTGCCCCTGATTCCTGAACTAGCCTTTCAAACAGGGTGTCCGTGTGAAGACCCGCTGGGTGGAGTGGCTGTAGTCGGGAGACCACACTTTCACTCCATCTAATTAATCTGGACGTCAGCGTGCGGCGGCAGTGCCCAGACCTGTTGTGCCAGT